TTAAAAAGAAACAGGATGCTTCTCTCCTTTGCTTTCTGCTTTACAAACTTCTTTTAATTCCCCACCTTAAAACCAAGCATCTTTCTTATTTGCCTCTTGCTTGACTTCAGTCTATGCCGCGTCTTCGGCTCTTTCCTCACTTATTTAAAGTCTCTCCAAGGAACCTGTTTTGGGTACAGGTTCTTCAGACATGGCCTTGCTCTGGGTCACCTTTTGGTTAGCACACTAAGCTTGCCGGGCCCCCGTTCCCTGTTCCTTCCATACCAGTGGGTGCTTGCATTGACCATGGCAACGGTCACATTTCATGTCCAGGAGGCCTTGCAGACCTGCTTTCTCACCATCACTCCGTCTGTCTGTCTTGGTACGTAAGATGTTTATACGGAGGGAGGGATGTTTGTTTTAGCGCACGACAGATACTTACAGTGAAGATTAGATCGTGCACTTCTGAGAGTCTCCAAAGCATGTAATAAACAATGCTTCATCTTTAAAACAAAGGCTCGCTCCCCCCTCAGCCTGCACAGGATGCATAGCTGCCAGACTAAACTTGCCTGCCCACGTCAGGCTCACTGCACGTGTATATACTTCAAGTTCCCTGTTTTCTTTCATCTGCTTCCTCGGTAAACAGACGGCAGACACTTCCTCGGCCTGATCTCTCCCTGACACTGCACATGTAGCTCAGACGCCAACGGGCTGTGTGTGTCCCCGGCTAGTCTTAGAGGGAGGGTTTACCTTCCTTCCTTCTGGAGAAACCTTCTGGGCCTTCTCCTGGGTCTCTTTGCAAAGGGCTATTGGAATTGGAGGTACAGGGTCACAGAAAAAGATCTCTCTTTTGGTGGCACTTGAACAGTCCATTAAAAATGACTCCAGTGTGCCCTCTGCAGTGGGTGCTGGTCTTACCGTGCCTATGTTGGACATCTTTTCTCCTCTTGGGTCCTGGGTGGTGTGAAGAGACACATGACCATTTACCAGTGTGGTGATCACAGAGGGCGCATTGGCAGCAGAGGAGGGGACAGCCGATGCAGGGAGCACTCAGCCACTCTGCTGAGGCTGAGAGCATCGTGGCTGGTCCTGGCTTCTAACTTCGATCCAGAAGCTACTGTTAGGTCAGTTTTCAGATACAGACCAGAAGCCTGGACACCCAGTTTTTTTTTTTTTGTTTTTTTTTTAACATGTTCTCTGTGCTGGGCAAGTCATACAACCCAGTTCAAGGGCTCATATTTCCTCTTTTATTTCTTTATTACTATTTTTAAATATATGTTCTTATTTTCAGAGAGGAAAGGAGAGGGAGAGAAACATCAATGATGAGAGAGAATCATTGATTGGCCACCCCCTGCACACCCTCTACTAGGAATCAATCCCACTACGAGGGTATGTGCCTTTGATGGGAACCAAACTGGGGACCCTTCAGTCCGCAGGCTGACACTCTATCCACTGAGCCAAACCAGCAAGGGCTCAGATTTCTTCCTTTAATAATGATAATAAGACTTTTCTGAAACGTGTATCTCCCCTGATAGGGATGTTATGTGAGTTAAGTAGAAGAATAGATAAAAAGGCATTTTGGAAAAAAAATTGAAAGCACTCTGTGATTAGCTGGTAGGTTTTGTTTCTTCTTCTAGACGCCTTCGAGCAGTGGTAGGCAAACTCATTAGTCAACAGAGCCAAATATCAACAGGACAATGATTGGCTTTTCTTTTGAGAGCCACATTTTTTAAACTTAAACTTTTTCTAATGCCACTTCTTCAAAACAGACTCGCTCAGGCCATGGTATTATATTTTGTGGAAGAGCCACACTCAAGGGGCCAAAGAGCTGCATGTGGCTCACTAGCCGCAGTTTGCCGACCATGGCCTAGGGCCGATTTTCACCAGTGTTATTACGAGTACCCTCTTTCCCCGGAGCCTCTCTCCTTCTCCTGTCATTGCACCCCCTACTACATTTGTCTGGCTTAGGACAAAGCAGAGTGGCCTTCAACCGAGGCAGCGATGAACTGCAAACTGCTGGACAGTCTCACCCAATGGAGCATGGTGATGACTGTGGCTCTGAGTCCGCCCTTGATCCATGATCCCGTTCATCATTCAGGCACCTGCAACAAAGCAGGTGTCAGCAACTCTTGATCAGTAATAGTAATGTGTAGCCTGACTGGTGTAGCTCAATGGTTGAGTGCCAACCTATGAACTAGGAGGTCATGGTTCGATTCCCAGTCAGCACACATGCCCGGGTTGTGGTCTCGGTCCCCAGTAAAGGACGTACAGGAGGCAGCTATCATTGATGTTTCTATCTCTCTTTCCCTCTCCCTTCCTCTATGAAATCAATATAAATATATATTTAAAAAGTAATGGAAATGCGTAGATGTCCTAGTAGCTGTAGGAAACTTTTAAATGCATAGCAATAGGGACACTGGGATTTAACGATAACAAATTTTTACAATGTGATCTCACAGAACACACTATTTTATACTATAAAATCTTTGGTTTCAACAAGCCATGTCATAAAGGTGTCATAAAAGGGGCCACAAAATCGGCAAGGCCAGGCATATAATAACAGGCCAGCAGGTTTAGATATGAAGGTGTTCTTGGCTTTATTGGTGGTCACATTCTCAATAGAGCACTGACTGCTTCAGGTCAAATGAAGTCATATCTGGGTTGGGTTAGCCCTTGTTGAAATCACTTAGGTAAGGTCTAATTTGTTGAACCAAACCCTGCAACCAGTTCAATTCACAGGGGAACATGTAATTAGATAACGTTTATCCCAAGACCCAACAGGAATGTTCTGGTGGCGATAGCGGTGATTGGAAGGGACTATGAGGCTGACATGGGAAGTGCCTGTAGCCATCTTACCAGCAGAAACAGAAATGGAAAACACTTGTGGAAGTCTGGTCTCGGTGACTTGTATAATTATCACACCAGTTAGTACACTGGATTCTCAAATGAGCAAATGTGTTTTCAAATACTGAAGCTTTATTTTCACTGAAAGGGTAATCTAGTGATCAGAGGGCAAGCCATAGTTGTGTATCTTACTGGATGAATTTTCCACGGTGTACCATTGTTTCATATGGAACAGTTGTGTGACTGCTCGATTTCCACTTACCTGTAGTAATTACTTGCAGCATACATCAACAATATACAGCCCCAGCTAATGCAGACTCCTCTTTTTCTTTTATCCTCACCGAGGAAATTCCCCCCAACCCCCTTGATTTTAGGGAGGAAGAAAGGAAGGAGAGAGAGAGAGAGAGAGAGAAAGAGAGAGAGAGAGAGAGAGAGAGAGAGAGAGACACTAATTGGTTGCCTCCTGCATGTGTCCCTGCTGGCGCTGGGGATCGAACCTGCTACCCAGGTACATGTCCTGACTGGGAATCGAATCTGTGACCTTCTGGGGCACAGGACGACGCTGTAACCCACTGAGCCACACTAGCCTGGCCAGACTCCTCTTTTTATCTGCTTAAAAGAGTCCATCCCTTCATAAAGCCTGTTTCCCAGACCTCCTGACAAATAGACTGTTTGGAGATCAGCTCTTGCTGTGTCCCCTGCCTGCCATCTGTTTTAGGTGTTAGTGAGCCAGGAAGTGCCTAAAGCACTAGTATGGAAGAGTAGAGGGCTGAGCTGTCAGAAAACGGAATAATCTCCTTGGCCTCATGCAGAGTTGTGAGGTGGCTTGTATCATCAGGTCATCGCAGGGAGGATGATGAAGGTTCATCATGAATCCATGAATCTCTGGACACGAAAACACAGGCTGGTTTTAGGAGAAACCTCAAAGGCGGCATCCAGACTTTGGTGACCACTGTTACGGCGCGGGGGCTGGATGTTTTCGGAGAGACCGTGCACGCAGACCCGTCTGGCCAGTTTCCTCTGAGCACCTAGTGGGCTGCTGCTTTAGAGATAAGTGGGCGTGAGACCTGGTCTTGGTTCTCAGGCCTGGTGGGAAGGTGTCACAGGAGTGTCTGTGCTGATGGCACCGATGGCTCTGACGCAGCACTGGCTGTGCATGGCCAAGCTTCGTGCTGCCCGGGCTTTGTTGACTTGCATCACCTTGAATTCTCTTATCAGCTCCCTAAGGGAGGCATTACTATCTCCGAAGTACAGATGGGGAAGCATTCCCCCCTCCCCCCGTATGTTATTGTACTGCCTCTGAGCACAGTGTGTTGAAGGCCTTGCCAAGGACGTACAGTGGGAAGAGCTCAGCTTGGCTCTGCTATGCACGTATGGGGTCTTGAGGAAATTCCGTCATTTATTTGAGCCACAATCTCTCATCTGTAAAACAGAACTAACAGTGTCTACTTAGCCCTCACTGTCAGCATCCTCAGACAGGCCTTTCCTGAGCACTCTAGGGAATTTTATTCCCATCTTCCCAGTGACTTGGTCCCATCACCCTGTTGTAATGTTGTTATCACCATCTGAAATGATCTTACTGTGTCCATGACTATTTGTGTTCATGGCTATTGTTGGCCTCCCGCTTAAAGGTAAGTTCCATGAAAGGCAGGGACTGGGCCTTTCACAGTCCCCCTTCTGTCGCCACACATGGGTTCCTGGCACATAGTAGGCATTCAATACGTATCACGTGAATGGGAGGTGTGTAGGCCACAGCTAATGGAGAGGGAAAGGAGAAAATGATGGTTCTTATGTTCAATGTCCTTGTGAAAGACTCCAGAAAGAAAACAAATCATGGAAAGCTTTGAGCTATACAGTTCAGGTAGGTAGAATGGTTCAGAATGTGTTTTTTAGCCATCACTGAAGGCTTACAAATAAATCCAGTTTCGTCATCCAGTGCATGATGGACCATCCTTGACTGGAGCTGACCTTCCTTAGCAGGAGAGTGAGGCCAACAGGACACAGATTCAGAAAATCGGATCTCGCGTGCATGCGCCTGGGGGAGATGCTGAGGGACATGTGTCAGCTGAGGGAACTTGCCTGAGGAGGTGTTTGGCCTTCACTCCCTCCCAAGCGTGAGCCTCGGAGTGTGTTGTCCTGCAGCCACACTGACTTGCTTACTGTCGCCCTGGTTGCAGGACTCGGAGAAGCGCACTCCGCTGCACGTGGCCGCGTTCCTGGGCGATGCCGAGATCATCGAGCTGCTGATTCTCTCAGGTAAGTGCCAGCTGTGCATTCAGTCACCGCACGTAACTGTCAGTGACTCGCTTACTCTAGTGACCACGCTAAGGAACGCAAACACAGTTTCTTCATGGGGCTCAATGAAGTGTCTTCGATTAGTGATTTTGTCAGTAAATGTGTAAAAAGTGCAAGGAGTAGTTCTTTAAAAAAACACACACACAAAAAAAACGTATTTTTATTGATTTCCGAGAGGCTGGGAGAGGGAGAGAGATAGAAGCATCAGTGATGAGAGAGAATCCTTGATTGGCTGCCTCCTGGAGATGGAGCCCAAAACCTGGGCATGTGCCTTTGACTGGAATCGAAGCTGGGATCCTTCGGTCCACAGGCTGACGCTCTATCCACTGAGCCAAACCAGCTAGAGCACAAGAAGTTGTTCTTATTGGAAAAGGACATCTCCAGCAAAACTTATTTGCAGTTTGGAAATCTGATTCCTGAGGCCCAGCAAGGTAGGTGGCATCCAGTGTATTTGGATGTCTTTACAGAAGAACAAACAAGCAAACTGTTTCCTTAGTGTCTACATGAACAGACACAAATGTGTGTGTGTGTGTGTGTGTGTACATAGATCTGAATTGCACTGCAAAACAATGCTTTGTTCTGTTTATGGACTTATGACTATGGCCATGTAATCTCTATATAGAAAGTGATAATATGCAAATTAGTCGGTTGTCACAACCGGCTCAGGAGGAGCTGTGCACACAGATGGGTGGGAGGGGACTGTGTGCTGCCCCAGCCCCAGCACACACACACCAGGGGTGGGGCATGCTCTGAGCGGCCGCGGTGTGGCTTGGAGCCGGCAGCCTGGGTCCTGGAGGGAAGCTGGTGCCGGTGCCGTCAGCCAGGGGAAGGAAGGCCTATTCTTGCTCAAATCTTCATGCATCAGGCCTCTAGTAAAAATATAAAAACATGAAAGGAAAGGCTACATTAATTTCTGGACAGTGGTTACTTACTTCTGAGGAGGCAGGTTGAGTGAGGGGTGTTATTAGGAAAGGGCGCAAAAGAGACTACAGCAAATATGGCAAATGTGTTCAATCTGATTTGCATGTGCACTGGTCTTTGCGATATTCTCTTTGTTTTTCTATGGATTTTAAGAATTTTATCTGAGTTAAAAACACCAGTGCTTCCATTTTTGGAAACCTGTGTGTGTACATCCCACGGAGCAGGTTTCTGAAGTCAGCATGTGCTCTCCGCCGGGAGCGTTTGCCAGACAAGGCCCGGGAAGGAGTCTGAGCACGTGCACACGTCCTGGTGTGGATCACGTGCAGACCCACTGCCTTTCCTCCTGCCTTCTGTTGGGCAGATTAAAACCTGGAGGAACTGCCTATGTCCAACAGACTGTGCAAAGGCCTGCACTGAGGCTCGGCCTTTGTTTGCAGTGGCAAAGGGAATTGTAGAACCCAAAGCGAGCTACACATGGGGGGAGGAGGGGTGCAGGGAGGGGGACGGCTTGTGGGGGCGAAGGGGTGGGGGAAGCTGATGCAAGTGTTTTTTAGCAGATGTGGAGGACATTGTGGGGAGGAGACAAGAATTGTGCTGGGAGCCCTAGTTGGTTTGGCTCAGTGGTTAGAGCATTGCCTGTGGACTGAAGGATCACAGTTTCCATTCTGGTCAAGGGCGTGCATTTGGTTGCAGGCTTCATCTCCAGCCCTGGTCGAGGCTCATGTGGGAGGCAACCAATGGATGTGTCTCTGTCATATCAGTGTTTTGCTCTCCTTCCTTCAGCCTTCCTTCTTCTCTCTCTAAAGACCATTGGAAAAAATATCACTGGGTGAGGATTAACAAACAAACAAACAAACAAACAAACAAACAAACAATAATTGTGCTGGACACACAGGACGGTTTCACTGCTCTCCTTGTGTGGTGTCCCCTTCCAGGTGGGCTTTCCCGGGCACACGTGCTCTGTGCCTTTGCTGTGCAGCCTGCTCTCCTGACAGTTGCTTGGAGCTTAGCGGGAGCCTGGGTGGCATCCTTCTGTTCCTGAGAGCAGGCCTCCTCTGATGGTTCCGAGATGTTCCAGGGCCGTAGGCCAAACAAACACACATTGTTCGGTGCTGGCATGGACCAGGGCTCAGAGCCAGCACACACCTGGCCGGCTGCCCCAGGGACGGAGACTTGGCCCATGGAAAACTAGGCGGAAACCAGTGGGGGGTAAAGTAAAGAACTTTGTGGTATGACACCTAATGGTCCCAATTTGCTGTACTCACCATCCAAACGTTGTGTGAAGAGACACCTCGGAATCTCAGAAAAATGTCAGGTTCATGAATGTGCGAATTCAGAACTTTGTCTTGGACCCCAGCCTTGGTTTCTGTCTGTTTTTCACCTGGAAGGGAAGGTTTTAATTCCGCAGCGTGAAATTGACCCTCTGTTTTCCTTAGGTGCCTCATGATCTTCATGGGGCATGGAGTCCACCAGCCGATCTTTTTTTTTCTTTTTCTTTTTTTAATATATTTTTATTGATTTCAGAGAAAAGCGTGAGGGATAGAGAGAGAGAAACATCAGTGATGAGAGTGAATCATTGATCAGTTGCCTCCTGCATGCCCCACACTGAGGATTGAGCCCACAACCCAGGCATGTGCCCTTGACCAGAATCAAACCCGGGACTCTTTAGTCCTTAGGTTGACATTCTGTCCACTGAGCCAAACCAGTGAGGGCCAGCTGCTCTTAAATGTGGCTCATTCAGGGGAGCCTGGAGAGTATATCTTGATCTGTACACCATCTTGTCTTGGAATTCTGAGCTGTTAACCTCTCTAGTATAATTTTGGGTGGCACATGCCATGGAATTTCCTCTCCCCCATCAAATTAGAAAGATTTAGGGTCTGAGAGAGCATTGGGAAAGTTCTTTAGACATTTTACTCATTTGTGGAAACTTTAGGTAAACGCTTGGAATCCACATGGCTTTAGTTTGCTCTTAGAAGTCCTGTATCCAGTTGCATTTTATTTTCCTAAAGAATTGTCACTGTAAGAGCAGGACAGTTTTGTCTCTGTGCTTTCATCTGGCAGCTGGCCCTTTTAGGGAATCCACCCAAACTCTTCTCCAACCTTATAATGAATGAAGTGTTAATGATTCCCATGTTGGACAAATGATTTGACTTTGCCAGAATAGCCCATTACAGCTGTGTTCTCTATTGTTGTATTAACTTGCGGAGTGCAGTGTAACCCAACTCCATTAATTCCTCCTGAGGTTGTCTCCCATTAGCCAGGCAGATGGAGCCCCGAGGCCCCTGAACAAACAGAGAGGAATAGGCCTTGTAACACCCCCCTTCCTGTAACCCGCCAGAGCAGATTCTGGCTTTACTTCCCCACCTGACTCTTGCTTCTCTTTGGGAACCTGCCTGGTCAGGCTCAATTCAGAGAGAAGGTCAAGAGTTTGCTGTTGCCCAGAGCTGCATGCATGAGACCAACGTGAACCAGTGAGTGGATGAGAGTTAAGGGACAAGGTTGCCCTGTAGGAAGCAGAGCAGATGGGAACATGACCCCAGTGGCAGCAGCTGTAGAGAAATTGGGGTGCACACAAGTTAGAGCCCTGGGCTGGAGGAAGAACACCGAATCCTCACCCTCCAGCCTGGGATGTGTGAGGTGGAAGTACGAATTCAAAATATTAAGTTCGTTTGCATGTAGGCCACTCAACAAGGGGTGTTCCAGTAACGGGATTTCCTGTGATTTTTCAAAATGTGATTTCTGCTCCCAACGCCAATAGTCTCCTGAGCCATGCAGGTCATTGTTTTGATGCTCTTATGCATAACGCATACTCATCCCTTCAGGTTGGATTCGGGGTGTGTGTGTGTGTGTGTGTGTGTGTGTGTGTGTGTGTGTGTGTGTATGTTTTCCACCCTCAAAAGGTGAATGTGATTAAACCAGGCAGTGCTGGTTTTGCCCCCCTCGGTGGTAATTATCAAGGGATGAGCCATCACCTGGTGGGCATGTCAACCAGCTCCAACGGCAAATCCAAGGGGAGTGCTGAAGATGCTCTGAGCAGTTGCCACATCATGGGATTATCACACATGCTTCCAAGGTCATTGCTTTGAAGGACACTGCTCCTAGGCTGTAATAAGATTTGGTCTCTGCCTGGAAAAAACCCGTAACAAGCTAATTTCATTATATTCTAGTCATACTTCGTATGACTTTTGGTTTATACTTGCTTGTTTCTGTAGTTAAACGCCAAACTTGAGATACATCAGCCTTTAGGATCCGTTATCCTCTTGGACCTCTAAGCGCTTTCAGTCCCTTGTCTACCTTTTGCCTTCATTCTACCTTTTCCTAGACGACAGGACTAAGAGAACAGACATGTTGCCTCTGGAAAAGGTGCTCAGAGAGCGCTCTGCTCTCTGTGAACATAAAATCAGGTGGTAATAGGGGTGAGATGAAAAGCACACTTAATTCGCCATCAGGGTTCAGGCCTGACAGCTGTGAGCTGGGTCTTCATTTCTGAAGAATCAGGAGCACCTATCCTTTAAGGAATAATAATGTAAGCTTTCAGATGTCCTTGGGTACAGGGCGTCTGCCTTTAAGTGATTCGGCATGCAGACCCTGTGCCCTCGGTGCCCCATGGTGCCTGATGGGCAAGAACGTAACGGGGAGCTTCCTTGAGAAAACCCAGTTATAAATAGTCAGCTATCTTCTGGCTCCTGCTGACCTTAAACAAGGCTGGAGGTGTTCCGGAAAGAGGCCGAGGAAGCCAGGGGCAGGGATGACACTGATGAAGTGCTGCCGGTCCCTGTTCAGATAGCTCTGCGTTTATCATAGTAACTCTGTTGCCGGGAGGGGAGCTTTCCTGGAGGACGAGTGGAGGGACGGGGACCCAGCGGGACCGGGAGAAGGCCCGTTCCTGCTCTGTGATGAGCTTCAGTGCCTGGAGCACAGGGAAGCAATGCCGGGGTGTGCTACCTGAGGGGAGTGAGGGGGGAGTGCTTTATGAGCTCAGCCAGCTCGGGGTCATTTTTCTCTTTGAGAGAATTTTAATATTAAAAGCCACACTTAGATCTTTTAATATTAAAAAACGGAAAGTTTTCAGAATATATAAATAACAATTCTCATCACAACACAATGTAGATGCCTATAGACAATAAGAACAGACGATAATAGAAGGATAAGGGGAGCAGGCAAAGCGTCTGAACGAGCAGTTCTGGGAGAATGAATGATGAGTGGGCAGGAGACAAGCATATTAGCAGATACCAACCTCACTGTTAAACAGTATACCATTTTTCCTCTAATCAGATTTGCAATATTTTCAATGGTTATAACTCAATGTTATCTCCTTCAGAAACATGATATACAGCTTTCTAATGCCGCACACAAGGACAGAAGCAGGCTGCATGTCAGGGGGGAGGGGGAAAGAAGAGAAGGGGGCAGGGAGAAGGAAGAGAGGGGGGGGTTGAAGGTAACATTCTGACTGTGGTGGCCAAAGCAGGTGGACGCAGGGCTGAGACAAAAATGACACTGGTGCAGCCTGCCCTCCCTCGTGAGTGTCCTCGCTGGCTGGCTGGGGACGGAGCTCTGGGGGATGAGCTGCTTAGGGTCACAGCGTGGCGGGACCAGAATGGCATTTGGAGAGTCAGGGGAAGGTTCCCTAGGATGGAGTGCTGCCCTCCGTGTGGCATGGCTTCCCCACCGCCTTCCTGGCCGGCTCCCCGGCCTGTCTGCCCCGCAGCTGGGCGCCTGCGTGTGGGGCCGGCCAGCGTCTATGCAGGGAGGAGAGCACGAGAGAAACGTGAAGACGCTGCCCGCAGGGAACACACCCTCAGTTAGAAAATTCCTTTCCAGTCGGACTGTCCCACCAACAGCATCTTGCTGTTTATTATCCTTATTCCCCTGGCCTGAACCTCAGGAAAATCTGGGAGGACACTGGGGGGGGCGGGACCACTTTCTATGGAAAAAGTGGACGAGTCATTTTTTAAGACATATACTTCTTCCTCTTTAAAAAAAATGTATTTTTATTGATTTCAGAGAGGAAGAGGGAAGGAGAGAGAGAGAGAAACATCAATGATGAGAGTCATTGATCAGCTGCTTCCTGCATGCCTCCCACTTGGGATTGAGCCCTGAACCCTGGCATGTGCCCTTGACTGGAATCGAATCGGAGATCCTACAGTCCACAGGTCGATGAGCTATCTACTGAGCCAAACCAGTTAGGGCAGATGTGTCATTTTTTAATCAAGGGCCACTGACCAAGAATAAAATAATGTAAAAAAAAGCAAGTTACCACCCGTCCCCCATTTTATTAAGGAACATTAAGCTTCATATGTTAGCTCTCTTAAAAACATTGTCTATTTCTAATATACTGAAAAAGGTAGAAAACAATATAACCAATACCCATGTACACCAAGGTTTATGAAGTCAACGTGGCCATATTTGCATCGGATCCTTTCTTAAAGGAAAGAAAACATGGAAGACACAGTTGCAGCCCATTGGCTGTGCTTACCCATTCTTCTCCCAACCCTCCTCCCCAGAGCTCCCACTCTAGAGAATGCTGGTTTCTTTAGCCATAACTGCTACTTTTACTTCCTGCCTGTGCATCTGTAAACAACATACAGAAGTACTTTTGCAAATTTAAAAGCTGTATGTGACTGGTATTATGCCATGGGCGTTACTCTGCAACTTGATTTGTTCAGTGTTACCAGATGGAACCAAATTGCTTCCCAAAGGGGCTACACCAGCCACACTCCCACCCTCTGTATGCAAGCCTTCCTGCTGCCCCTCACTCTTGCCAACTCGTAGCATTGTCAGACTGTAATTTTCACCAACTTGATGGGTGTGCCATGGTATGCTAATGTGACTGTCATTTGCCTCTCCCTAATAGTTTTTTTCAACTTCCTGAATTATTTTATTTTGCAACTGGTGAATTTTGTCATTCAAAACAGTCAACTCAATTTTTTCTTCAATTACAATTTGTATTCAATATTATTCTGTATTAGTTTCAGCTGTACAGCCTAGTGGCTCAAGAATCATATACTTTACAAAGTGGTCTTCCAGATATTTAAAGTGGGAGAGAAAGGTAGAAACATCACTGAGCCATGCTGGCTGGGCCAAAAGTATACCTTCAAAGCTCCCCATACCCAGCTGGTGTGGCTCAGTGGTTGAGTGTCAACCTCTGAATCAGGAGGTCACAGTTAGATTCTTGGTCGGGGCACATGCAAGGATTGCGAGCTCGGTCCCCAATGTGGGGCATGCAGGAGGCAACCAGTTGATGTGTATCTCTTTCACATCAATGTTTCTCTCTCTCTCTCCCTCTCTCTTTCTCTCTCTCTCTCCCCTCCCCGCCTTTCCTCTCTGAAATCAATAAAAAATATATTTGGAAATTTTATTTTTAAAATATATATATATATTTTATTTTTTTACAGAGAGGAAGGGAGAGAGAGAGAGTTAGAAACATTGATGAGAGAGAAACATCAATCAGCTGCCTCCTGCACACCCTCCCCTGAGGATGTGCCCACAACCAAGGTATATGCTCTTGACCAGAATTGAACCTGAGATCCTTCAGTCTGCAGGCCGATGCTCTGTCCACTGAGCCAAACCAGTTACGGCAAGGAAAACATTTTAAAGTATACACGTGCCTGGCCCCATCTCAAACCAATGAAATTAGATGGCGGGTATGAGGTGGGAGGTGGGGAGTGGGAGGAGAGGAGTCTATCTCTTGGTTTTAGGGATTATTATGTTCTTCTTTTCTATAATTAATACCGTTGATGGTATTTGTTCTTCAGATAAAGAGAAAAAGATTGTGTAAGTTCTATGATTTCTTATTTCCTTTTAGCTGGTATCTTAAACTATATTTCTAGCTCATCATCACCTGGTGCCTTTTTAAAAAACACACACATGAAAACACAAGTAATTTTAAGCTGTCAGCTGGCCATGGCCTCGCAGAGATTGGCCAACCCTGCTTCCACTTGCCTCCTGACCCAGCCTGTCCCAGAGGCACCGCCCACCTCTCCTCCTCTCCCCCCTCGCTCACGTCCTCACTCTTCTTCCTCAACAGCTTCCTTCCTCTTCCAAAGGCCAAAATAGTCTCACCTCACTGCATCAGCAGATGATGACATTTTCTCTGGCTGCTCCTCTTTAGTAGTCCTTTAAACAAACTTTCCATCTCTGATAAGAAGACTGATCAAAACCCTGAAGCCCCCTGAAAAGGAAGCTCAGATGGGGTGTTATTTTTTTAAAAAAAATAATTTTCTTAAAAATATTTTTAAATTAATTTCAGAGAGGAAAGGAGAGGGAGAGAGGAAAAGATCAATGATGAGAGAGAATCATTGATTGGCTGCCTCCTGCACGCCCCCCACTGGAGATCGGGCTCACAACCTAGGCACGTGCACTGACTGGGAATTGAACTGTGACCTTCTGGTTCATAGGTCAAAGCTCAACCACTGAGTTACACAGATCGTGCCGATGGGGTGTTTTATCAGTTCAACTGTAGACATGGAGGGCTTGTCCCGATAATAATTGTGAAGGTGTCATAGAAGGAGGGCCGTTTCTGCTGTCCTTGACTCCATTCATTTGAGGAGTCTGCCCCATGATGGAGGTGGCTCCAGAGAATGTGAGCTGGATCTGGCTGGTGTGAGCCTGACTGTCCCCCACAGTGAGGAAGCCTGTCTCCCCACAGTGTGAGGGACCTTGCCCAGCCCAAACAGGCTCTCTGTTGGTCTGCCCCAGTGCTCCATGGAGGCTGGCTTATTCCCACCAAAACACCAGAGACAGAATGGAGATTCCTGGATAAAGATTTCCACTGACCCTCTCAGTCCAGATGAAATCCCATCAATGGACAATATAAACTGATGAACAAAACAGACCCAGAGACAGAGAAGCATCGATCAGGCCGTCAGACCTCAGAGGGAAGGTGGGGGAGGGGGAGGGTAAGAGGGAGAGATCAACCAAAGGACTTGTATGCATGCATATAAGCCTAATCAGTGGACACAGACATCAGGGGGATGAGGGCATGAGTGGGGGGGGGGGATGGGAGGCAATGGGGGGATAAGGATACATATGTAACACCTTAATCAGAAATGAAAAAACAAAACAAAACAAAACAAAAAAGAACTCAGCTTCACCCGACGTGTTTGGAAGCTGACTGGCCCTCGTGCACACTAGTTGGAAGGCTGCTTGTCCTTGACCGTTTGCCAAGAGGGTGTTGTGTGCCCCATGAGATAAAAATGCTTGATCACTAAATAGAAAATACTTTCTCTGATTATATATTTTATTCAGGAATATACATTCTATTCGGGGAACACACACACACACACACACACACACACACACACACACACACACACAGAGGAAAAGTCCTTCATTCCTCAGAACGCACATGTCCACAGCCCTGGAGAACCTGTCTTCTCACCACTGTGTCTCCTACCCCCTGGGATGCTGGATTTCCCACCGGGTCTGTACCAGTTCTTGGACATTCTCAGTTCTTGATCTCGCTCCTCTGCAGTCCTGCGGTCTCCTCTTGTGCAGTTGCCAGAAAGCACGGGACTGAAACAAGGACAAACAAAACGCAGCGTGATGATTGTACCGGGCAAATAGGGGCGCAAGATATGGCATCTGACATGACCTCAGGAGACTACCTCCCCCACCCTGCTGCATTGTGCCTCTGACCTGTGCTGTTTGGTTCCAGGGGCGCGTGTGAATGCCAAGGACAACATGTGGCTGACCCCGCTGCACCGGGCCGTGGCCTCCAGGAGTGAGGTGAGTGGCTGTCGGAGTAACCTACCACCTCAGTCCCTCGGAAGAGAGACATTCTCTCTGCTGAAGTGGGATTCTCACTGGTGAGCTCCAGGCTTTTGCTTCTCATGCTAGAGGGTTGCCAGCAATGAACTGCTGTTGATTTGAGTGCCAGCTGAGTGCCAGGCGCAGGACTGGGGATAAGGGGGGGGAGGGGTGCTCAAGGTGGGCTGCATGGTCCGTGACTTCAGTGAGCTCTCTGTCCGGAGTGGGAGACACACAGGTTAGCGCATCAGTATGACAGCAGAACGGAATGGAGCAGGAAACAAAGGACTGCTTGAAGAGAGGACGTCTTCCAAGATGAGAAGCCAAGCCAAGCCAGTCCTTTGAGGATGAGCAGGGACTTGCCGGCAGGAGCAGAGAGGGCCAGAGAGGGCCGTGTGGTGGAGGAAGATGCTGCAGGAGAAGAGGCACAGGAGGGAGTGGAAGGCGGGTGGGGGTGGATGCAGCTGGAGCGTGGGGTGAGGTGGAGGTGAGGCTGACAGTGGAGGCAGTAAGGTGCCCTCTGAGCAGTGGGGAGTGCAGTAATTTAAACAAGGAGCTAAACTTCTTTCATGAAGGGCCAGTTAGCGAGTATTCCAAGACTGCATGAAGTCTCAGTCACATGTTCAATGCTGCTGTTACCATTCAAAAGCAGCCAAAGATAATATGTAAACAGGGAATGAGGTTGTTTCAATAAAACTTTATTTATAAAAACAGACCAACATGATCTGTGATAAAATATTTTTAGAAGTATTGCCTATTTAAGAATATACCCCCCCAAACCCTCCCCCACACTCAAATACATATTTTCTTTGCGTAACCTGTTGCTTTGTGTGAAATGCATTTCTAAATATTTCTTTAAAAGAAGTACCTCTTAAAGATAATACCTCATTCCCTTAGTTACTCAAAAAGTAATCACATTTTGTGACTTTTAGGAAACAAGTTTCTAATGACTTCACTGGTCTTATCTCCAAAAAAGTAGAAACTTATGAAGTGTTCTTGTGTATTTTGTTTTGTTAGTCTGTCCTTAATTTACATACTATTTAATGCAAAGCAAGAATGAGTACCAGTGCAATAAAACAATGCACGAGGCAAAGGAATTAAAATGACAGGAGGGGTTGTCATTTTGCTCTGAATGTGTAAAAAGCATACTGTACCAGCAGTTTTTACCCCATTGCTTGGAGATGATTATCTTTGATCTTTTGGCCATCTATCTGCAGAATTTTTCCAGCATGCCTCTTCAAAATGTGCATCTCATTTATTGATAAATCATGTGCTGAACGGCTGTCATATTTCAAGGCTCAATAGACTCTGGGGGAGGCTCTTCATTTACCAGCTCTCCCATGACCCAGGGAGGTAATAGACTTCTGATGGCTTTCCTGCGTTGGCCAAGCGCCTGTCAGATCTGATTAAATCTGTCATTACTTCTACCTGGTAATGCAGGTGATGGAAAGCTTTCCCCGGAGCGGAAATGCCAGCTCTGTGGCTTCCACATTAGTCACACGGGCTCCTTGCATACCTCTGGCTTCTTTTAGGGTGCTCCCAGTTTAAGGGCACATCTCACAATCTGTAAGCAGACGTGGCAGGCCCTTCACTCTGCCTTTGGGGGCACTCCCAGCGAATGAATGGAGCCAGAGCCACCCACCCCTTCAGTACTGTGAGTGCCCCCCTCTTCCCTGAGGGCATCCCTGACACTATGAGGCCAGATCCTCAGCAGAGCTGACTGAGGGCACAGCATCAACTCAGAAGTTAAATGCAGCTGAAATGCTCTTCTTTTAAAAGAAAGCAAATGTGAGTGAAGGTTCCAGTACATTTTCTTCCCACATCATGATGCATTGGGGGAGGGGGATTGTATTCTTCCCACTTAAACCTCCATATTTAAGAGAACAAAGTTGATAAAAATATCATTTTTCTAACTAAAATGTTAATGCTTTGTTGTGATTGAGCTTTCCTTTTATTTTTTGTGCACTCAGCTAGTTTTTAGTTTAGAACCTACCTGGGTAATATTTCTCTCAACCTTCCATAGTTCTAGCCATGTTTCTGACAGTATGTGAGCATAATCGGTACACATGTTTTGCTCTGAAATGGGCTCAAGGAAAATTTAGCAATCATTATTTTATTGTCTGTCTTGCAGATGGGTGGTATATATATATATTTCCTTCCCTTTTTGGCAATCTTAACAAATTGCTCGCTTAGGCCCTATCAGCTTATTACCCGTCCTTTATAGCATTTAAATGGAGTTACACGATTTCTTTAAACTAGATTCTCTCATTTGCAAAGTTAATTTCTTTTTGCTCTCATTCTACTCAGTTAGCCATTCACTTCCACATGTACTGAATTTGTGGAACATTCTTTTTATTTTATCATTTATGTCCCCGATGAAAGTATTAATCTTGACAGTTCGAATTGTCTTCTATATACTTGCATATACTTGCCTGATGACGCAGCCTGGTGGCTCCAGGCCTGTGGGGATCAGGGTGGACAGAAAAGAGCACTTGGCTATGAAGGGTGCAGGAGTATGGGACTAATGCCTTTCACTGGTTCATGGATGACACGTTGGTAAGATGCCCATAAAGCAGCTCCCTTCACTGCTCCAAGGATGTCCCTGGAAATAAGGAGAAGCAACCACAGCCTCACCTTTCCAGAGATGCTGCATCATTCGCTTGATTCAGCAGTGGCGTCTCCAGTCCTGGCTGCGTAACCAGGTCCCCAGGCAGCGTCACAGTCAGCCCGAGGTGGGACCAGGCAGGTTCACTGCACAGCAAGGTAGAGGTGAAGTTCAAGAAACAAACTAGCTGACGAGGTCAAGAGAAGGAAAGTGAAAAGTGGGAGGCTCAGGAAAGGTGAAGGAACTCGATGGTAGAAAAGAAACCACCCACTGTCACATGGGAGAGGTTGGAAAGACACTTGTGTAGCTTCAGGTTGCGATGGTAACGGACATCCTCTTTGCTTCACTGCTTGTCCACCACAGAGTGGGGTTGGCCGAGAGCACCGAAGATTTCTAAATTGATCCAAGAATGTCTGAAGGGCTTGGTGGCCTTGGCTTGGGAAGAGGGAGACTGATCAACAAACACCTCTGACCTCAAATGATCTCAGGGGGCCTTTTGGCCGAAGGATATGTCACCCAGATGTGCACACTTGCACATGGGTGCTCTCATTTGGTCCCAAACACCTGGTACCTTACAAGGAAACCTTATCCTCAGAAGATGTATTTGGTTTTGGGGCCGGGCCAGGGCCCTTGGCCCAACCAAGAAACGTGCAGGGAGTCTGTTTTGATCCACACCACTCTGGATCTTTATCTCCCATTTGTTTTGCTTGTCACAAGAGATCCCCCCTCTGAAGCCAGCTGCCAGGGCAGGAGCCACCTCTCTGTGTAGCTGGGGGTCTGGTGAGACAGCTCGCACTCAAGGAGTATTGATCCGGCATCTGTCCGTGACTCCTGCGCACTCTGCTTTGGTTGCAGGAGGCGGTGCAAGTCTTGATTAAGCACTCGGCTGACGTCAACGCGAGGGACAAGAACTGGCAGACCCCGCTGCACGTGGCGGCCGCCAACAAGGCCGTGAGGTGTGCGGAGGTGATCATCCCCCTGCTGAGCAGCGTCAATGTTTCCGACCGCGGCGGCCGCACGGCCCTGCACCATGCTGCCCTCAACGGCCACGTGGAGGTGAGCGTCCCCACCCTCCAGCTCTCTCAGCTCTGATGGAACCATTTGCTGCGTCCTCTCTCTCTCCTGTGTCTCTCCCCTCCCCCCCTCAATCTCGTATCCTCTCAGCCCACAGTAGAACCTAATGTTACTGCTGAGACCTTTGTAGTCGTAATATTTGTATACAAAATCACAGGCATTTATATCCATTTTTATTTACCTATTTTTAAATATATTTTTATTGATTTCAGAGAGGAAGGGAGAGGGAAAGAGAGCTAGAAACAGCAATGATGAGAGAGAATCATGGATGGGCCGCCTCCTGCACACCCCACACTGGGGATGGAGCCTGCAACCCAGGCATGTGCCCTGACCGGGAATGGAACCGTGACCTCCTGGTTCACAGGTTGACGCTCAATCCCTGAGCCACGCCGGCTGGGCTCTATCCGTTTTTAAATCTGGAGCCACGGCAAGTTGAAAAAGTAGCCATCACCTGAGTTTTTTTCTCCTGATGCACATGCTGCCGGGTTTGAACTCTGCTTGAACTCCGATCTCTGACTGGCCTGGCCTTCCATTTGGTGCAGTCCCCCTGCAGGCAGTGAGGGGCCCTCCCCCATCCACAGTGCACATGGGACTTCACTCCTGATTTACCTTGCAGATGGTCAACCTCCTCCTGGCCAAAGGTGCGAACATCAACGCCTTTGACAAGAAGGACCGGCGGGCCTTGCACTGGGCAGCGTACATGGGTAAGTGGTACCTGGGTGGGAAGCAGGTGCACGTGACCTTCATGAGGGCAGCAGCCAGGGCTCTCTCCCTGACCACGCAGGCTCTTCTCGGGCAAGTCTGACCTCTCTTCCAGCCTGGGGTTCAGCTGGATGGAGATTTGGTCCGTTGGACTGACATGCGTCGAACACTCTAGTTGGGCAGTTGCTTTGCCAGAGATTTATTTCTCTCACAGGAAGGAGGAGGAGGCATGCATCATGGCCTGGGTCCCACGGAGTGTGTTTCAGTCTGGATTGGAAAGCTGTACAAATGGTGCTTCTTCTAACTTGTTGTGGAAGCAAGATAAGGTGTTTACAAAGAAGCGGCCTGGCTCGCAAACCAAGGACGTAAATGCCATTTGTCTTTTAATTTATAAATATTTTTGAAAGAACCAGGAAGGAAGAATGGATGGAACAATCCCCCCAACTGCCCCCCCCCAACCCAGCTGCTGTGTAGGTTAAGGTGGCCGGAGTCACCATGGATTGTCCTACTTGTTCTTGTCCTGCAAAGCTGGGGCTTGTAGTCCTTGCTTCTGCCAGCTCGGCCAGGAGGTGGGGGAAGAAGGTACATTTCTCTATTTTTCCTTTTTGCTTCTGTTGGCCCAAATACCGCTGACAAAAGATAGACCTTGTAGAGTTTATTCTCAGTGTGGCCCTGCAGGAAATGGAGATCCTTCCTTTGTGTTTCTGATTGGAGAACATCCTGCAATTAGGAAGCAGACAAGATTCTATTGGCACCAAGTTCTAACCCCCTTGAAGGCCCATTCCCAGGAGATGATGTTGGTAAATTATGGGAGATCTACATAGTGGACACAGCACAGGGATGGCAGTGATGACGTCATTATCTTTATTAACATAGGAGAGTCCTCTGATTGTCAACTGAAAACAGATCACAGCACAGGATGGGTACTGTGACCCCCGTTAAAAAAATGCTATACAATAAAAACAAGCTGGTGTAGGATGCATTGAAATGTGTGTTGGATATCTCCAGGGATTGGTGATTGTCGGTGATTTTGGTTTCCTTTTAATACCGCTTGGCTTTTCTGAATCTTCTTAAGCACACAGGCCTTTTATCTCGTAAAAAAAAAAACAAAAACCAACAAGAATGTTAATTGTGGGAAGGAAAGAAGGTGGTTTGGAGCAGGGAGGAAATAAAGGATGTGTTCTTGGGTCTGAATGATTCTTCAGGCTTGAAACACTAGAATCCCAAGATTTTGTAAGCCTTCATGTGCAGGGAGGTGAGCTGAGCTTGCTGAGTGGAGTCGATGCCTGCATGGCCGTGTGGGGCTGGAGCAGATGGGTGTTTGCCAGGCTGACCTTCAGGCAGAGCACACGTAGGCTGGTGTGGGATGGCACTCAGACACCTGGCACTCCCGGTCTGTTCCTTGTTGATGTGCAGCTAGAGCATGTGTGTGGAATCGCTTTGGAGGAGTAATGTCATCATTTTGTGTGTCATCAAGATTCAAATAGGAAAATACGTAGTTGATGACCTGTTGGAAATAAAGAACAACAAGGACGAAAGACAGCACCATTAGTAATTGAAAACAATTTTTCTATATACAAGTCTTGGGGGGAAAAGAGTCAAATATTAATAAAACAAGCCATGACCAAACTCTCTCTCTCTTTGTCTCTCTGTCTCTTTTTCTCCACACCCCCCTACACACCTGTCTCCTACTCATTCACACATATATGTATGCACACCTTTCTCTCTCTCACACACACACACATATCTTTCACTCACACACATACACACATCTCTTTCTCTGCCTCTCTTTCACATGCAGGTATACCTTTCTCACACACACCCCTCTCTTTTCACACACACACACACACACACACACACACACACACACACAAACCTGTTCAACAGCAGCAATTTCATATAATTCAGACTTTAATCTGGAGTCACCCTGATTAATTGATTTTTTTTCATTAAATTTTTTCAAACCAAATTGCCACTGTAGGGCCCTTCAGTGAGACATTGCAATTGGTTTCCAAAACATTGCTTTCATTTTAACATAATGTTTAAAGCTTGTGGTACTAACACATTGCAGACCTTGTTCTTACTTATTGATGAACGGGCATCTCTCCCATTAGATCTTGAAGAAAAGGCTCACACATGAATCATCTGTTTCTCCCCACCCCAGCATTTACATAAAGTCTGACACATAGTAGGTGCTCTCTAAATATTTGTTGAATATTTCCATGAACCAACTTTGTATAAATAGCTCAGCAAAATATTGATGGCTATAAAAGCTCACAGTGATCACTTAGGAGGCACGAGTCCTCAAACCATCCCGTAAAGCTTAACAGTGTCTCTGCTGCTTGCTCTGTGAAGGCCACCAGGACGTGGTGGAGCTGCTCATGGACCACGGCGCGGAAGCGACCTGCAAGGACAAGAAGGGCTACACCCCCTTGCATGCTGCGGCCTCCAATGGACAGATCAACGTTGTCAAACATCTCCTCAACCTGGGGGTAGAGGTGAGCCACGACCATGCACCACCCCGGGTGTATTTGGGGGCTGTCTGTTGTTCTGAAATTAAACCCTATTTGCATTTTATTTATTGATTTGAGAGAGAGGAAGAGAAGAGTGAGAGGGGGCTGGAGAAGGAAGGAGAAGGAGAGAGAAAACATTGAAACACTGATTTGTTATTCTACCCATTTATCTGTTCACTAGAGGCCCAGGGCATGAAATTCGTGCAGTCGAGGGGGCAGGGAAGACCCTTCAGCCTGGATTGGGAGAGGGCACAGGTTGGCCAGCTGGGGAGGGACCACGGGAGGACTCCAGGGCATGTCTGGTACATCTCACTCAGTCCTAATCAGCCAGACTCCAGCATTAAGCTAACCTACCGGTCAGAGCATCTGTCCCTGGTGGTCACATCATTGCAAGTCGTAGCAAGCGGTTGAGTGGCTTTCCCATATCATTAGCATATTACACTTTGATTGGTTGAATGGTGAACTGGATGACTGGACACTTAGCATATTAGGCTTTTATTATATAGGATTGGTTGATTCTTGTGAATGCCTTGATGGGGGACGGAACCCACAACTTCGGTGTATTGGGAAAATGCTCTAACCAATTGAGCTATCTGTCCAGGACTAAATCCAGTTTCCATTTTAATTCAAGAGGAAAAATACTCTTCATACTCGTACCCTGTCTTTGAGTTTCAATGGTCAACTGATGGAGGGCAATGGGGGCTTCTAATTACTGGAAAACCAGAAACAGACTAATTTTTCTGTGTCACAATAGTTAAAGAAATCATTTTATATTTATAAAATACACATTCACCAGTCAATTTTAAAGACTGGCTAGGACTCCCCATCCCACCTTTGGAATCTAGCCTTCTACGGTACCTGGTGGCTCATAAGCAGAGATTCTCATCTCTGGCAGGGACAGCTGCAGAAGGGTTCAGTGTTGAGCTGGAGAGGTCAGCCCAGCCCCTGCAAGTAGCAGAGCAGGAAAGGAAAACCAACTTGCAAAACAGACCTTGATGGTGAAATCCAGCAGTCGGGCAGCAAGATGGAGCCATGGCCTAACCCAGGCAAGCTTCATGGTCCTGCTCTAGGATGTGGCCTTGTGAGGTGTCAGGTGGCAGCTACACCCAGGGTGGCTTCTAAGCCCAACTTGTGAGCTCCGGGTTCCACAGCGCCTCCCTGTGCACCTCCCACCCCTTTCACTTCGGGTTCACTGTGAGTTTCAGACTTCTTTCTTCTTCTTTTTAAAAATATTATTATTGATTTCAGAGAGGAAGAGGAGGGAGAGAGAGAGATAGAAGCATTCTTGATGAGAGAGAATCATTGATTAGCTACCTTCTACATGCCCCACACTAGGGATAGAACCTGCAACCCGGGCATGTGCCCTGACTGGGAATCCAACTGTGACCTCCTGGTTCATAGGTTGACACTCAACCACTGAGGCCAGGCTTCTTTCTCACTCCCCTGATTCACTGCTCCTCTGGCATTTGTAGGCAGTTTTGACCTTCGCTTGTTAACCCCTCCCATAGCGCACAACTGTCTGTCCACAAGCTGAAACCTCTCACTCACCCTTCCTCCCCAGTTCTCTGTTTGTCACGCCCCCTTTCTGCTGATCTTTACCTCCATGACAAGCATTTCCAGGATGGCCAGGGTGAGGCAGGAGTAAGCGCTGAATAATTACATTGACAGATGGACATTTTCTCTCTCTGGCACAGCCATTAGGCTTTTTGTGGCGAATGGGGTGAACTGGCTGCAGGGATTTTAACCCCCGTCCCGCACTCACTTGCAGATCGATGAAATCAACGTCTATGGGAACACGGCGCTCCACCTGGCCTGCTATAACGGGCAGGACGCCGTAGTCAACGAGCTGACCGACTACGGTGCTAACGTGAACCAGCCCAACAACAGTGGCTTCACCCCGCTGCATTTTGCTGCTGCCTCCACACACGGTGCTTTGTGTCTTGAGCTGTTAGTCAACAATGGGGCTGATGTTAACATCCAGGTATGGCATTCTTAGTCTCTCTCTCTCGCTCACTCTCTTTCCTTCTCCCTCTCTAAAATCAATTGTCAAAGAAAGAGTTAGAGAAAAGGAAGGAAGGGGAGGGTAGAGTCTACGTGAAGAAAAGCAGGTAATAACAGAAAAGTAGAATAGATGAAGAGAATTGCAGAGTTCTAGATCTTGTAGCTAGAGACCATCCAAGGTCCCAAGTGGAGGTAAGAGAAAGTCTTTGGGGGCATTGAAGAGACCAGGGAACAGTAGCCTAAGGTTGGGGGAGAGTCACTGTGTGGATTGCAGTCGGAGAGTGTGCTGGTGGTAGGCTAACAGGTGGCCAGACCTTCAGTGTCCGTAGACTTGTGGACATTGCCATCCTGGTGTCTGAGGGACATCCTTAAAGCCTTCAAAGAAAGAAAAATTATTGAAGTTAAATAAAGTTTCTGTCTTCACCAACCTCCATTCAATTAATTGAAAGGTTTTCAATCACCTCTGGAAACTGCTTATCCCAGGGCTGGACAGACACACCTACCTACTGCTTCCAGGTCACTGACAGCGGCAGTTCCCATTGGACAGGGGCTTCAGCTGTGTATGGGGCATCGGTTTATGGCAGCATTCTCTTCCCCATAAAACGCACCTGGAAGCATAGTTACTAGATTGAATATTAACTTTTCCTGTGGACTGCTAAGCACCAGTAAAATATAGGAGATAGCATTTTAAAAACCTGAGACTTGGGTTTATGTGTCCTCAACCCCATGTCAGTGGGATTTTGAATTAAATCCAGCCTTTCCTCTCAGTCTCCCTATATCCACTGTCTACATCCTCTTGGTTTCCTCATGCTCTCGAGTCCCCTTTGCTATTCCAGATGGCCTCTGGGCTCATAGATCATCTGACATTTCCACAGAGCCGTTCTGTCTGACTCTAGAGGTAGCTTTCTAATTGTGAGGGGGTTATCTCTCTCAACCACATTGCTCCTTGGGTTTTGAAAGTGTCTGTAGATTGCAAGACAGTTTGTATTTGTTTGGATTTTCTAAAGCATGAGGGAAATCACATATTGAAATACAGCCAATACCCACCCACATGTTCACTTTGTTTTCCTCCGTCCTCACAAAACACTAAAAGCAATGTCTTCATGGGAAACGACAAGAATATTTATTGAAAGAGGAGGAAGGATACGTGTCCTGCATGCATTTTACAATCCTTCATTTTGCTTACATCGACCGTGGTTTTGACCTTGTGATATTAGTTTATTTGTGATAAAATAATAAAGACATAATACTTCATACAACAATCCATTGAAGGTTTGCTGGTATTTTGCAAATGGAAAGAGCATGAGAAAACATAAAATGATATTTATTTCTTCCCCATTATAACTGTAATTTCTGTAGCAGCTCCAGGCTCTTTTTGGAAACATTCAGAGTACGAGTTAAAGAAGTCACTAAGCATGTAGCCATGCCCGATAGTATCTCCTGGTCACTAGGCCATTTTCTGACACACCTACCTACTTCTCCCAGTTAACTGGCAGAAGTCAGCTCACATTGGATTAGGGACTTCAGGTATACTAGTTCATGGGCACTAACATTCAGTCTGCCCATGGTCTCACTTCTTCTCTGTCTGAGGGCCCTAGAGCATTCGGCCCTAAGAGAGACGGGATTTGAAGCCCAGCACCCATCTGCTGATGTGGGCCTGCACCCTTCTTTATATATACCAGGACCAATTCTAGAACTCAAGTTGTTTTGCAGAGGTTGAAGGTGAAACTGGAGCAAGCAGGCATAGGGACATGGCCCTTGGAACACTGAAGAGCATGTGAGGAAAGGAGAGGGATGAATGAATGAGCCAACTACGTCTCATTTCCAGCCTTTAGAACCATGAAAGAAAATTGGACCATACATGAGCTTTTGTGCAAACCAGGGTTTCCTGTTGTTCTTCCATTGACTCAGGAAGCCCTTTGGGGTTTCTGGCTCTATCTGCCCCCCTTTCCCCGCTGACCTTAGTGTTGTGCTCGGGGGCGCTCTTGGCCTTTAGTAGGATACCGAGGCAGCATATATACCACAAAGAGCACAAAGCCTACAGGTTCCTGGGGAGGAGAATGTGTGTTTAGGGAAGGTTTTGGGAGGGGTTGGAGGATAGGAAGGGCAGCATGAGGAGCCAAAGAGAATGAAAGGATTTCTGAGGAAAGGGGTCAAGAAAAGGGCAACACTCCCTTAGGCCAAGGATCCATCTTCCTCAGATGGTGCTGAATTCTGCCCCGGAAGAGTATTCATATGTGTGATAAAATATTCTTACTGGTCATCCTCAATTTGTTTTTCTTCATGATTTATGGCTGAACTCTTAGTCAGTAGAAGAGCTTTTTGCTTAATTAAATAAATCCCCCAAATAAAATTTTCTGAGTCCTCAAATCTGGTGGGAAAATGCATCTATCATAGAAATTGGAGGGAGATTAGACATTTAAGAATAAGATTTAGAAAAGCAAAGCTGTGAGTAAACAGAGGAATTGCCCATGACCTCTATCTCCTTCGAGCATGCAGGGATCTTTCATGTTGGAAGTTCTCAGGGCATCAGCCCACAGCCCGCCCCCCCGTGCACCATGTCTCAGGCAGAGCCTTCCTCTCAGCCTGGGGACTCTGAGTTCTAGCTCATAAGGCGGGGTACAAAGTAGGGTCCTTTTGACCTTCCCTGGTGTTCAAGGGCCTTTTGAAGTTCATACCATCTGAACAAAACTGCCCTAAAGTGACTTGTCATGCTTCCTGTCACCTCCCCCCCTCCCCGCCCCCCGTCTCCCTGTGAGAAAGGGACGGTCAGCCACGGTCCGGACTCAGTGGTAGACGAACCCGGGAACCTGACATGGGCATCACCGCTGACCACCATGCTGTCCTTTGAGTTTTCCTGTCCTTGGTCGGTCATCCTATTTATGTGTCGCTTTAACTAAGGTACAGACACTCCGAGGGAGAGGCGGGTGAGGTGCTGCTGACCCTGACATGGATCCGCTTGGTAGACCACACTCTGCAGGCCCATTCCTTCTGCTCCTGTGCACTGGCCGCGGTTTCCTTAGCGACCACCAGATTGGGGGGACGCCGTGGGAAAGGCTTCAAGCTGTTCTCTGGGCGTGGAAAGCGCTCAGTTCAATGTGGATAAAGGTCACCTCGAAACACGGAAACACCCATGGATTTATAGGTTTAATGAATCACGAACGAGTTATGTTTCCATATGAAATTTAAGAGAAAATATTAGAGCAAAATTTAAAGAAATAGCACCACCTAGGGACAAGTTCATGTCAGTCTGCAATTTCTGCTCTCTCCCTAAGCCACCTGGACGGAGGGGGGTATTTCAAATCCTTATTCCCAAGTGGTTCCCAGGGATTTGGTGCTTGATGCTGGCTGCACCCCTGACAGCAGGCCCAGGCTCCGGAGTCGGAGAGCTTGGAGGAGCCCCCTGCGCTGTGCACGCGGGGCCAGGGTGGCCACGTAGCCTCATTATCTTGATGGCTGCCACTTTTCCTTGAAAACCCTTCCAGGAAGCCTTCTGGTTTGCTTCCCTGACTGCGGTGGCACTGCTGTAAGGCAGGGAGCAGACCCTATCAGTTCCTTGTCTGCCATCTGCCTGCGAGCTGTCACCACAAGGCAGCTCCACTCGATGTACCCCTCCCGTGGCCCAGCCTGGGCCTAGCTCCCTGCTTCCCTTCGGAGGAATAGATTTAAGCTTCTCTGTTCAAGCCCGTGGCTCTGCCAGCGGTTCTAGCCCACAGTCTACAGCAGGGCGCTCTGCAGGTCACAAGTGGGGCTCCCGTCACCCCTATTCCGACTCGGTTTGGGTGCAGAATTCACACTGATAACAAGCATCCCGATGATCAGGCGCCAACAGTCCTCGGTTCACTCTGAGAGACTCTTCTTTAAGTCATGATCTGTGTTCACAAGATATTTTTAAACCAATTGCCATCTTAAAGGACCAGAGTGTGGGATGCGTCACTAACATGAACTTGCATGTTAGAAACCACATATTTTAACCTCAGGCTTAAGAAAAGTGTTTCCCTAAGACTTAAAAAATAACAATTACATAGTGTGTGCGTTTTTTTTTAAATTGTTATCACAATACTTGAATGAAAGAATGCATTCTGTTGAGGATACCATTGGTCCAAAACAGTGGTCGGCAAATTCATTAGTCAACAGAGCGGCAAACCATGGCTCGTGAGCTTCATGTGGCTTGCGAGCCAGTTTGCCGACTACTGGTCCAAAATAACTAATATTTTTTTGGGTTACTATTTTAAGAAGAAATTCTATGAATGACTATTTCTTAATTAAATGTGTGGGAGTTGGGTATTTGGTCTGTGCATTTTTTATGTTTTGGCTTCATCTGTGTCAGGAAGTCCCGTCACTGTTATCTCAAACAATGACGAGATGTGTGCATTCAGTGCACGTTTCCAGGCGAACGTTTGCTGGGCAGTTGCATGACTCAATGTTATGAATTCAGCCTTTCTCTTTTGCAACTGTCAGAAGTATTTTCCTCTGGAGTTAGAAGGGGGGAGGGGGATGGTGGAAGATTCTAGAATTGTCCTGAGAGTGTCAGTGACTTATAGCAGTTCGGGCTATGCCAGGTCACACAGGGCCACGAGAGATAACACACCATTTGTTGTCGTCCCCCGTGGACTATGGACAGAAGTTGAAAACTTCCTTAATCCAGTAGGTTACAGGAGATGAAAATGTTTTGGAGGATTTATTCCGTTTGAAACAGAGTCGTTTGAAAATTGTCAGTATAATTAGACATTTTGCATTTTTTCTCTAAAATATTCACCTCTCCTGGCTTCTTTATGATGTGAGGTTATGCAGCAACTTGAGATATACCCTTCACCATTCACTTTCAAAATTATCTATTGCCTCTCGTCATTTCTTTTTATTATTATACTTAAAAAAATTTAAGTTGACGTTGTCAGGACATTGCCAGCAGTGTCCAGCGGGATGTCTCGGACCCATGTCCCCGGTCCATTGTCTCTCTCTTCCTTCTTTTTCAGAGTAAAGATGGCAAAAGCCCCCTGCACATGACAGCGGTCCACGGCAGGTTCACGCGCTCACAGACCCTCATCCAGAACGGTAAGAGGCCTCTCCGCGCTCTCCTATTGGAATGCTCTCTGGCCCCATGAGATGGGCTGTCAGTTAGCCGAGCGTGAAAGGTGATGCTCTGTTAGAGCTTCTGGCGCTCTGATTTGCAGTTTCCTTTGCTGTGCTCTGCTGACAGCTCTTCTTCAGCTGTCATGTCGCCAGTCAGCTCAATGGGAACGGCCTAAAGCCACTACGTTTCACAGTCCATTCCCAGGCAGTCAGAGAACATGTGAGTGCTGAAATGAGCCGTGATATACATACCTCCATGGGCTCAAGAGGCTGTACTTTCCACTCAGAAACTGATAAAAATAAGTACTGCACGTTTCCTAGCAGGAAACCGGAGCTATTTTCAAGTTTCAGAATTCACCATGGTTTCCTAAGCTAAAAGGCAATGGGCTGCTTGGGCAAAGGTAGCTAATGATGAGGCGACTCAGGAGAAAAGCAGGTGAGTATGTGATGTGAAGAATCCTGCAGACACATGCTTGGTAGAGACCTTGGGAAGTCACATGATCTAGTGATCTCCCAGGCTTGCAGCAGCAGCCTACATGAACCAATGGGCTGTCTCTGCAGCCAGCATACCTGGGAGGGTCGCTTCCCATCGTGGGTGGTGGGCATTGCAAGTGGGTTGACCTTCACAGCCCAAGTCTGTTATCTTAGCAAATCTTAGAGACATCTGAAAGAAACACACCAAGACTATGACCCCATCCCCCCTCCCACATACACACACGGGGTCAGCCCAGATTTTAGTTCACGTTCCAGGTGAACCCCGAAGCTCCGAAGCTCTCTTTAGTTGACCCATTTCTCCTTCCCACAGTTCTGGCATCAGTTTTCTTGGGCCTATTTTTATCTCACCTGTCAGACCTTCGATGACATGCACTTGAATTATCCGTGGCATTGAGGTAGAGCGTAGGCATTCGGGTTGTAAAACCAGACCATCGTCTGACATTTGGAGGGAAGACAGGCCAGGGAAATGATGCTGAGAGAGCAGAATCTCTGCAGCAAAGCGGAGGGCATGTCTGAGCCTTTCAGGGAGACGAACCAGTCCGCAGTGAGCCAGGGAGGGAGAATGAACAGGAACGCCACACACACGTTCTTGGTAGCAGACATATGTGGCCTGCCTGGGACAGCCACGTTAGTGAAAGTCCCACGTTGATGGTTTTATTTTCTGGGCGTGGCCAGGGGAGGTGGCACCCCAGTCTCCAAGACACTTAGGGAGAGAACAGAGATTGCAAGCTGACAATGGTGTCTCTCTTTTGATCAGTTTCCTTACCCCACTGCATGTCTAAGAAGCAGCGTCGCTGCCTTAAAACATAAACAAAACTAGGGGGAAATTTGGTATAGTTTATTTTTTTAAAAATTCATTCAAATGAAGTGGGCCTTCGCTCAGTGGCACTAAAGCTTTGTTCCCTGTTAGAGCCATTTCACACGTCAGTGACCAGACCAGAGAGAGTAGTTCCTCACCTTGTGAGCCCTGCCCTCCTCACATGGATCCTGTGAGCCAGACTACGGGCCTTCTCCTTCGAGGCCTGGCCAGCCCCTCTGCTATGCTAATTGCTTACAATAGTCCCCCCAGCTTGGCACGGGGCGCTGCTTTGCCCTCTCCAAAGGCCGTCCCTGCAGACCTGAAGGCTGCCACGCCCTCCTGCACATCCTTGCTAGACGTCTGCGTTGGGACGAGACCTGAAAGGGACCCCATCTCTTGTCCTCTGTGACCAAGCAGCTTTGTTTCAGATCCTGTCTCATTCTAGGCTGGCCTGCCATCTTGCTTGTGTGTTGGATGGGGCCTAGGGGTCTCAAATGATGGGGACTTAGGGGCCAGAATATATAGTCCATCTTATATAATAAAAGGCTAATATGCAAATCAATCAAACATGGAACAGCCTGTCGCTATGATGCACACCCCTGGTGGTCAGGGTGCTCCCACAGGGTAAGTGCTGCTCAGCCAGAAGCCCTGAGCTGGGCTCATGGCTGGTGAAGGCAGCAGCAGTGGCGGAAGCCTCTCCTGCCTCCACGGCAGTGCTAAGGATGTCTGACTGCCGGCTTAGGCCACACCCCACAAGGGTCCTGGACTTCGAGAGGGCACAGGCTGGGCTGAGGGACCCCAGTGAGTGCACAAATTTTGTGCACTGGGCTTCTAGTTATACATAATTCCAAAGCTACCTTTGGTTGAGAGTTTATACTGAGCAGCGTGCTTGGCTTAGCTCTGCACACAAATCCTTTCAACCACCCCATGAGGAAGAGATACTGGGACAGCTCCATTTCAAAGATGGGTAAATTGAGGCAGAGAGGGTGTGGCTTTTGCCGGGATATATGGCAGGTATATGACAGCACAGAGATTGGAACGGAGGCAGTCTAACATCAGAGACTGAACTTAAGAAATATCTATATTTTCTTACTGATTCCAGAGAGGAAGGGAGAGGGAAAGAAAGAGACAGAAACATCAGTGAGAGAGAGCTATTGATCAGCTGTCTCCTGCATGCCCCCCACTGGGAAAGTGCCCTGACTGGGAATTGAATCGTGACCTCCTGCTTCATAGGTTGACGTTCAACCACTGAGCCATGCTGGCCGGCCAGAGACTGAATTTTTAACCACTACACTTACGTGTTTTCTGGATAAACAAGGGCATCAAAGTTGTTTTTGACTTGAATTATATTTAGTCCAGGAGTCGCTTACGTTTGGAGTGAGTTGTCCCTGATATGGGATGATCTCCGTTCTCCTCCAGCTGAGAGTTCTTTGCGTTCCTTCCCCTGTGAGAACCACGAGTGCTTCCGCTTGACATTTTACCAAGTGTCCTCGGAGGAGAATAAGCAGCTCTGTTCTTTCCAAATATAAGATGGACTATATATTTGGTCGGTCGGTTGGCTTCCTCCTGGGAAAGTACGGAGGCTCATGCCCTCACACCCATAGGGCCTGTGTGCACTCAGAGGGGTCACTGGGCCAGGGGGCCCGGGGGCCGGCCCGCGTGGGGTCAGCGCTGGCTCCTGACCCAGCGAGCAGGCTGCAGGAGCACGCTGTGTGTGTTTGTTGTGGTGATCAGTCCCTCTGGGGTTTGGACTTCCCAGGGCAATCCTCTGCTCTCTGGTCAGGGTTATTGGTTCTTCATGATACCTTTGCGTCTCCAGAACGATTCAGCTTCGGTAAGAGAGCCCCTGGTTTGTTCTGTTGGTTAGCAAGCCTGCCTCTGCCGGGCAGTCGCAGTTTGTTGTCTGAAGCTGTTGTCACAGCCGGCGGGGCAGGACCTGAACAAACCCAGAGTGGACTCCGGAGGCCTGGAGCCCAGCCGCTGGCCGCAGGCAGCTGCTCCAACACTGGACAGGAGGTTACAAAAGTCCAAAGCGGCTGTTTTCTTCCGGAAGCTTGCACAAATAAATAGAGTTTGAAAAGGAGGAGTCAACTGCTGGGCTAGGATGCGTCCTCGTGAGGCTTTGACCTTTTGGCTCACAGTTCTGCTGTGGGAACGTGGAGAGCTGAGTGCCCTTGTGTGTGCGATGGAACTAGCTCCAGAGGAGGGCACGGACAGTGGTGTGAGCACCCAGGCATGCTCTGGCTCTGCTAAACTCAGATGCTTTTTTCCTCACTAATGATCCAGGACAGGTTATCAGTGTTTAACTTGCAACCTTTAAATGAACAGTAAAGGTATTAAATTACCAATGGAAAGGTTTGGGTGAATGGAAAATGGAAATTCATTCATCTAGAGATCCTGTTTTAATATAAAACATTTTTGAATAACAAATACCCAAATTATGTTTTCTTGAAATGTGCTTTATTTTTTTTTATTGAATTTTAAATGACAGTAAAAGCACGTGTGGAAGTATCTATATTTTTACAGTTTTAAGTGGACTTATTAAACAATAGTACAACTGGAAGAAACTATCAACTCAGCTTCTCTTTTCCACCCTTTTCAATATTTTTCACTCTTCTTTCTTCTACCCAGTTTTTGGCATATTTGAGACTGGTAAACGTGGTAGCTCTCACATTTGTTGAGAAAGGTTTGCTGTGAGTGATTCAGTGTGTATTCAGGGTGAAGGCTTCTCTGAAGTCTGGGGGTCTGCCTCCTTCATCTCCTGGGTCAGCTCCATGAGTAGCCCTTTCAGGCCAACCACTGTAGGCGGTTCTTATACAGGTACATGTATCAGGATTGCTCTGAGGTATCCATGGAGACCAACTGGCTGCCTGTCCCTAAGATTATATCACATCATAAAAATGATGGACCTAAGCTGGATTCTTCTAAATTTGGATCAGAGAAAACAATCTGTTAAGTCCCTAGAAGATGCTAATTTTATTTTTTTATTTTAACTGATTATAAAATTAGGACATGCTCATTGTCAAAGTTAAATTGTGAAAGAGATTGCCCATGATATTCACCAATATGTCTCCCCAACTCCATCCCAAGAATTTCTATTGATAGTTTGATGACACTTCCAGATTTTTCTCTGTATTTAAGAATGTATATGAGTACACAATATAAAGATATATAATCATCACTTTTATTTTTACAGAAACGGTTATAGTCAATATGAATAACTGTTTTTTAAAAATAAGTATTGTATCACAGTAAGAAAGATTTGATGTGCAAATATTTTTACATGCAAATATATATTTTTTAATCTCCAGGATATAGGTAAAGCCTTTCTAACTACAACTTAAAATCTAAGTACAATAAAAAACTGGTACATTACAAAAATATTTCTTAAGGTAACACACCAAAGACAAATGAAATTCCAGGGGGAAAATGTTTGCAACACGTATTACTGATAAATGGGTAATCTCCCAAATATTTTAAGAGCCCTGAAAATCAAGGGATAGAAGTCCCATACACGTGTACACACACACACACACACACACACACACACACACACACGGGAAGGGAGAGAGAGAGAGAGAGAGAGAAGAGAGGAGAGAGGAGAGCGAAGATATATGACAAGACACTCAACTTTCCTGATAAGAGAAATTAAAGTGAAAACTACCCTGGGATGCCAGTTCTCACAATCACATGACAGTACTCATAGCTTGACAAGCCTGTGAGGTGAAGGCATACACACCTTACTGCCGAAACTGCAAAATCACATAGGGCCTAAAGAGGCACACTTAGCAAAATCTAACAAAACCACATGTTCATTTACCCTTTGACCTAGAAATCCCCTTTCTAGGAATTTACCCAGATGTTATACCCAACAAATATGAAGCAAACGTGAGATTATCCACGACAGCGTTCTTGATAATTTCAAGGATAATATTTAAAACCTAAATGCTCCTCCATAGGAGACTGGGGCACTGACTTAGTACCATATCCGTGCGATGGAAACCGTAAAGCTGTACAGAGACGAGGAAGATCTCCAAGAAGTGGTCTCTAGAGGTGAATTCCAGGAGATATTAAGTGAAAAGGAAAAGAGCCAGGTGTGAAAGAGTCTAGGTGCTTATTTTTTGCAGAGAAACACAGGAAACATAAACCAAAACCAACACAGATGGTTTCTACAGGATGTGGTTGAAGATGAAGTGAGAGTGGGACTTTGTAAAAATCCAATTGTGCCTTTGGAAACATGCACTAAGTGCATGGTTGTGCATTCATCCGTTTTTAGAACTTTCTCAGGTGCGCACCCAGTAATGGGATAACCGGACCTTAGACGTCTGCTGAGGAGATGGAGTGGGGGATGCGCATCAACGTGGGTGTGTTTTTGACACAGTGCTTGACCGGACTCTAGTAATCCGGAAATCATCAGGCAACTCCAGAATGCGACACTCTACAAGACTCCTGGCTTGGCCTCCCAAAGTATCAGTGACATGAGAGACTAAAAATTAAATAAAAGGCAAGAATATTTTTGTAGATTAAAGAAAACTAAAGCGATAGGACAACCAAATGCTATCAGAGTTTTAGATTGGATCCTGGAATTTTTTAAAATGGCTCGTAAGCACTTTTTTTTTTGGGGGGGGGGAACTGGAGAAATTGGAAGATGCACTGTATATTATATAAAATTATATCAATGTTAAATTTCTTGGGTATAATAATGGAATTATGGATTTGTAGGAGAGTCTGTTCCTAACAGTGAAATGTCATATGTCTGATTTTTAAGACATATGGAAAGGTTTTTCAGAAGCATTTCTAACATAACTCCCTCCATGAGGTTTGACAGGAGTATTTCTAACAGGATCTCCCTTCTTCACATGGAAAAGCGTTCCTAAGGAGGAAAGAAATCTACATCTGATCACCAGGAGTGATTAGGGGAGAAGGTGGTATCAGGTCAGTCTGGGTCCTTACGTTATATCCTGTGTTCAAAAATCTTTTGCAGGAGGAGAAATTGACTGTGTGGATAAGGATGGCAACACTCCTCTCCATGTGGCTGCAAGATACGGCCATGAGCTTTTGATTAACACCCTAATCACCAGCGGAGCGGACACGGCCAAGTAGGTGACTGCAAAATGCAGTGGAATGATTGCCATGCGTGGAAATACTGCCAAAAGGAGTCCACCGTGCGGTAGATAGGCCCATTTATCCAAGTCCGGGTGAATCTGTACCATTATGCTAAGGACAAATTAAATTTGAATGAAGTGAAGTGACTTTTAATGACAGATGTAAGGAAGAACCAAATTAATTTTTTCAGCCACATCAATAAGAGGCCCGTGCCAGTGGTTTTAATTAAGGAGACTTGGACTTCATTCCTAACTCTGCATGGTCTTCTGCTCTTCCCCATGCTCAGTGTTAGGTCAGCGGGGAAAATGAATCATAGGTGGGCAAATTTAGAATTTATTCAGGATGCTTGCTTAATTTTAATTATGTAATTATAAGGTCCAATTGAGTAGATATGCTACGAAGGGAGGGGGCGCTGACTTCATTTCATACTTCAGTTCAACAAGGATGTATAAGGCATCTGGTCCCGCTATCACCATGCCAAGCGCTTTGGGGGATTTCAGAGATGCCTGATTGGTACCTTCAAGGCGGTCATCACTGCGTTGGAGGTCCAAGGCCTGCCCAAGACAAAGAGCCATGCAAGTTAGTATATAATAAGGCTCCAAATGAAACAGGACATAGGTGGGAAGACAGTATGTCCTAGATCAGTGGTGGGCAAACTCATTAGTCAACAGAGCCAAATATCAACAATACAACAACTGACATTTCTTTTGAAAGCCAAATTTTTAAAACTTAAACTTGTTCTAACGCCATTTCTTCAAAATAGACTCGCCCAGGCCATAGTATTTTGTGGAAGAGCCACAACCAAGGGGCCAAAGAGCGGCATGTGGCTCACAAGTTCGCAGTTTGCCGACCACAGCCCTAGAGTGTGGGTAGGGAGGGGAGAGTGCCAGTGGGGCCAGCTTCTCAGAACAGCCTTTAGGTGGGGAGGTTTAGGTGGGCAGAGGGTGGCAGGCCCCAAACAGAGAGGAAAGCAGGAACCAAAGATGAGAAGAGTACAGTTCTGGGAAGAGATTGGGTTCTAAGAGTGTGTGTGGTGATGCCACGCTCTGCCCAGAGGCAGCGCTATGTCCCAGGCTGTCACTGCCCAGGCTCCAGCCCAAGCTGCTTTGCTTGTGAGCTGTGTGGCTTTGAGCCCATTGCTCTATCTCTCTGTGCTTTCGTTGCCTCATCTGAAAAGTGGGCGTAATAATAGTACTTACCCATTGGTTTGTTTATACAGATGAAAGGGCTTAATTACTAGAAAAGCTCTCTGGAATAGGTTAATAGCTGTATGAATTATATAAATACATCTGCTAAGATTATGAACCGAGATAATCCATATTATTTGTGCCTATCACAAAATAAGCTATCATTAAATGTTAACTATTATTTGTTAGTTACTAATATGTAGTAGAACCAGATTCAAGAGGGCCTTAGATGCTTGAATAAAGAGTGTGGCCTTGATCACAGAAATCTGGGTACCGATAACAATTTTCAGGTGCAGAACAATATGAGGGCAGTGTATCAATATTATTAGGAATTTTATTTACTTGACAACTTTGTACAGCAGCATCAAAAGTCTTACTTGCAAATGGCCTGGGAAGGTGTGGTGGGCTTCAGAACAGTCACCTGCTTGATGACAATATCCCGAATTCTGCTGCAGTTCAGACAGAAAAAGAAATGAGCACAACTGGTCAGGAAGAAGAGGAATTGAAAAACTCTAGAGATAAGTGCCCCAAACCTAAAAAAGTGAGAGAAGCACAACCAAAGGGCTCTGACACCCCGTGAAGGGACCGGAGCCCTGAGTCACACTGCAGACCGCACTCCAGAGCTCAGAGAAGTAAGAAGGAGCGACACTGTGATTTTTAATTTCTGGATGAGAGAACTGCTTTGTCCTTGCTGAAGGTCAAATAGCCAGCAAAAAGCAAAACAAAACTCAAATTCAAAGTTTCTGACCCATTTCTAACATCATTTGCTCAGTATACTAATTCACTTAATATAATATATGTTGCTATAAAAAAGCTCCTAAATTTATTGGATTTTGAGTCCTGCCTGCAGTGGGTTTGGCGGGGCCAGACAAAGTGATTTTTCAGGCCCCGTTCTCTATCCCCGACTAAGGGAAGGTTCTAGAAAAGACTAGATGTGGGGAGGGGCAGCCATGTCTCTCTGATAGGCGAACACTTGAAAGAACTGGTATTGTAATGGTGCGGAAGCCCTTTGCTCACTCTGGAGAGCCGTCTGCAAATTAGTCTGACCTCATTTATCCCAAAATAACTGGGCAGGAGACGTCCGCTTAGAGCTAAATTAGAAATAGCTAGTACAAATGCGTCCCATTAATTTTATGTCTGGTCAAATAAATTAGCCGTGTAGCTGGAATTGACCACCTCTTTCCTGTGGTGTACGCATTGTTAAGTTGGGTGTGAGCTGACACCGTCAGTGATTGGCCTTCCTGGATGTAGGTCTGATGATGTGAGAGTGGTCCTTCTTTTTGGGCCTATAAGGCAGGCAAACCCTCATTTTCTGCTAAAGATTTTACAGTCCTTCCTTTATGAGCAGTCTTGTTGTTTAACAATAGAGGAGTAATTTTATTTTGAAATGCACGACTCACTTCTGAAGTGATTCAGAGGTTCTGAATTCTACTTTTATATTCTTTCCAATGTCGGCCTAATATTTAGTTTTCCTATTTGAACCATACCAGCATATTCAAGTTCAAATGCCTGTAGAACTTGAGTCTAAATTAATGTTTTCAAAGCCTACACTGAGGTAATGACTTGTTACTAACTGTGGAATAAAAAATATATACCAAACAGAATTTTTGGTAGACATTTTAAAAGTAGGTCTTCCTCCCTTCTCAGGTTTATAAGTAACAGCAGAACAAAAACAAAAAACCCCAAAAGAAGTAATTTAGCTAGAGTAGAGTGTAATGAATTATCTAAAGACAGTGGTGGTGAGTGGTAGGGTTAATTAGAAATATTGATCATGAAGATTATAGAATATAATCCTGTTACAGTCCTGTTGCTGTCAAATTGGTCACTTATACTTTTTATGTTTTCCTAATTGGTTTCTTTTTTTTTTTTTTTAATATATTTTATTGATTTTGTACAGAGAGAGAGAGAGAGATTTAGAAACATCGATGAGAGAGTCATCGATCAACTGCCTCTTGCACACCCCCTACTGGGGATATGCCGGCAACCAAGATACATGCCCTTGACCGGAATTGAACTCGGGACCCTTCAGTCCCCAAGTCGATGCTCTATCCATTGAGCCAAACCGGTTTTGGCCCTAATTGGTTTCTTATAGAGTTTGATGCTACTTTTATTAATTCATTTGCCTGTATTATTTTATATAAATACTAGAGGCCCGATGCATGAAAATTCATGCAAGAGTAGGCCTCCCTTCCCCCCTTTCCCCTCCACCTGCTGCCAGCATCGGCTTTCCTCTGAATCGGGACCTGGGCTGGCTTCCCTCAGGCTGCCTGCAGGCACCGGGGACCTAGGGTGTCTTCCCTCCGGCCCCGGCTTCGTCAGAAAGGACATCCAGAATGACATCCGGAAGGTGTCTGGTCTAATTAGCATATTATTATAGATATCTTTATGTTTCTTTATAAAATAAATCTTATATATTATAGGAGATACATGATACATTATATATTGTACACATATACATTGTGTTGTATACATAAATATATTATGTATATGTCTATTATATATAATATAACATTTTAATATATTTATATTTTACTCTTTTACATATATAAAAAATGAAGAAGGCTCAAAGAAATCTTGAGCAATCCAACCCTTGATTTTATTTTATTTTTTTTAGGAACTTAAAGCTAGTCTAGAAAATATTCTATCCATCTTCCTCTTGGAAATGTCCAGAGATATTTAATCATATATTTTTGCCTCAACTGCCCCAAATAAATAAAATTGTTAGCTCAAACCTCATTAGCTCACAGTTGCATGTAGTTAGAAGCTTTTCAAACATGCTAGCCTGGAAAAGAAATGGCCGTGTTTCGCTGGCATTAAGAGGGAGCAACAGAAACAGCAGCACAAACAGAAAGCTCTCCCCTCCTCCAGCACGTTCTTCCCTCCGCGAGCATCCCAGCTGTTGCTGATGCAATTGCTTTGCAGAGTTTTTTTGTAAAAGACGAGAGAGGCAATTACAAGCAGCGCTCCTGTGCGTGACACTGCCCGGTAGATGGGCAAATTGCACGTCTTGATGGATGCCAGCTATTAGAGACCCTGGGCTGCAAATCTCCATGTAGGGAATAGAAAGGGACGGAGGAAGGCCGAGCGAAAACACATAGCAAGAGGTGTTCATGGGAAGAGAGAGGGGGCTCGTTGCTGGCAGGCTCCGCTTTTGCAGAAGACTGAACACCGTGAGATAGCTGAGACTACGGATAGGCGTTCACAGTCACACACAGCAGAGTAACTTTCACGATAGCCAATGAAGTCCATGTGTCTATGCTAGAATCTAATGCAGCTGTTTTATTTTCTGTTAGGGAGGGTCTGGGAGATGCTTTATATCAGGGTGAGTGAAATAGGGAGCTGGGGCTCACCCAGAGCTGAATTGGCTTATTTTTCCTTAACAAATTCAAATCGTGTGTGTGTGTGTGTGTGTGTGTGTGTGTGTGTGTGTGTTTATGAAGCATAGAATCTGAAAGCAGGCCACTGGTGCCAGAGAAGCATCTTAGGTAATGTCTCCACAGGTGTAAATAGATGAGCTTGCTTGTGCTATGCAGAGGACTTACAAAGTCTGAAATCTGTTATTTGAATAGAGTAAGATGTTATGAGCAACAACCACTAAAGCTGTAAATGCTTGGAAGTGCACAGGAACTTCCTGATGAGGCTGTTCCTTATGAACTGCAGCTCAGCACACAGCCCGGGGTCCTGGTTGGAGGAGAGGTGATGGGAAGAGAAGGCTTTAATCTGGAGGCAGAAGGTGCTGCCATCAGGAGCTTCCTGTCCCCCAGGGGCTCATCCTGGGGCTGTGCTGTGGTGGAAGAATCTGTCTAAAAAGTGCTTTTGCAGATTCTTTCTGGAGCGCTGTCAGGGGAAGCCTGCTAGGGTTATGAAATAGACTCAAGATCACGTTTGCGACTCTCAGCTGCGCTTCTATGGCTGGAATCCTGCTGTGGGTCCTGAGCAAAGATAACAGTCTGTTAGGAAGATGGCATTTTACCTGCAAAAAGTAACCTGTTTTTATTCTCACCAAAAATGGTATTTTCAATAATACAGCCATTCTTGACTTTTAGTCAAGTGCTTGGCCCATAATAGGTCAATAATAACTATTTGTTTATGTTTCCTTTTTATTGATTTTAGAGAGGAAGAAAAAGGGAGAAAGAGAGAAACATCAATAATGAGAGACAATCATTCATCGGCTGCCTCCTGCACGCCCCCCACTGGGGATCGAGCCCACAAATCTGGCATGTGCGCTTGGCCAGAATGAGACCTTGACCAGAATTGATCCTGGGACCCTTCAGACCGCAGGCCAGTGCTCTATCCACTGAGCCAAACCGGCTAGAGCTAAATATTTGTTTATTAATTCAGGAAATAAAGAAGGTTGCTTTCGAAGATGAGAGTTGTCTTATCTCTAGCACTTAGCATAGTATCTCATACTTAGAAAGTGTTGAACAGATGAGTGGATGAATGAATGAGATATAAAATTGCTTACCTGAAAGAAAAGAGAAAAGGAAGTTAATTTTAAATGTAAAGAGTCACATAATGTTTACATGAAACATTTCTTTCACATTATTAGGGGTTTTTGCTTCTGATTTAGGTGCTTTAAGGTAGACAATGACTTTAAGGTAGACAATGAGTGCATCATTCTTTCTCGAGTGGAAGAATTGCAAAATTATTTCAACCAAGAGTCCCTGAGCGAGGTGTGTGGACTTGGCTTTGGGCAGAGGACACCTGGAGAGGTCATCGCCCTTCTGCATGGGTCCCACGAGCTGTTCCCGTGAGCTGCTCTGTTTTCTTCCTCCTCAGGTGTGGGATCCATAGCATGTTCCCCTTACACTTAGCTGCCCTGAACGCGCACTCCGACTGCTGCCGGAAGCTGTTGTCATCAGGTGAGTACCTGGATGTGTCCTGCATGAGCCACGTGGCCTCCCGTGTCTGGTCATCGCTGCCTGTGCTTCGTGTCGCTCATTTGTCATCTGCTCTGGGCAGCTCCCAGCAACCCTGGGCATTATCACTGCCAGAATGTCAGCAGTGCTGTTCCTGAATGGGAGTTCTGTCTGTTTATTAAGGTTATTGACTCGGTCATCCAGAGTCAGAGACAGGCCGCAGTGGGCACAGCTCATAGAGCGTGTGTCATAAACGGAGAAAACACCTTTCAAGCTTACAGTGGTAGCTTAGCATTTTATACTCCCCCCCACCCCTCGCCCTCATTTTGACAGTAGAAAATGTCACATGACCTTCCCACTCCGTGGGCTCTGAGAAATCACCATGGCTGATCCCCTCCAATTAGGTCTGGTTTTTATTGTTTTATTTTTTTAACGCGGGCCTATTGGGAACCAAGAAATCCCTTCTGGTTTGGAGCCTTGCTGATCTTTCTTATCACTGCTCTGCCAAACTCCATCTATTCAAAGGCCATGGAGCTTTGCAAGGCAAAGACTGTTTATGAATTCATTCAGCAGATGCTCCAGAAGCATTTTACCCCTTTAAGGACTTGACCCATGGCTGATCCTGCTTCCACTGCTTTTGGCATATCTAAAAAACACCCCTGCATGAAAGCACGTTTCCCAAACCTCACACCCACTGGCAGCTGGTCAGACGTTAAGAAACTCTCTATGCCAGCATGTTGGGATCGCTGTCTTACCTTCCGTGTTTCCTCCATGTGTCCCGTCCGCCTAGCTGTTGCCCTGTTTACCTCCAATAGGTTCCCATAAATGTCTGTCCTGGGGCTGAAATATGGGGCGGTGGCTCACCCAGAGCTGAACGGGAAGATAAATTCTCTCTGCCTTCATGGTTCTTCCTATAAAATCGCCAAGCTTGAGCAGTTCCCATTGGTTTTGTTTCCATGACAACCTCTTTCTTGCTTTGCATTCTGGTTTTTCTACTAACTGATTTTTCTGTCTCTGCAATGTTTCTTGTGGTTTAACTAGGACAAAAGTATAGCATAGTGTCCTTGTTTAGTAATGAGCACGTGCTGTCTGCAGGCTTTGACATAGACACCCCAGATAAGTTTGGAAGAACGTGCCTTCACGCCGCTGCTGCAGGAGGGTGAGTAGTGAGCAATTTCAGTTGTTATTTCCATTTCTTAACAACGAATGCATCTCATTGGACATCAGTGGACTGTGATTCTAAGGCCGTTTCCTTAGTGAAATGGGTCAGAACCACTTCTACCGACACCAAGCATCACGGGGTTGCATTTCCAGAGTTACTTGCGTTATTGTCCTTCCAGAGAAAATTTTAGCCCATCTCATCTAGAAATAGTTTTTCTTTTGTTTTACATTCTCTCTTTATTTTCTTTCCTTCCACCTTTTTTTAATTGTAGATTTTCACCCTATAGAATATACATCTCCTTGGTACTCCCTACACTGAAAGAAAGTAATTTGATCGAGGGAATCCAAGACTGAGTTCATTTACAGACACTTTGGTCCTTATTTTTAAGCCCTCGTAGCAGTTGAATGTGAACAACGCTTAAGAAAACCCAAAGGATCAGAAAGAAGTTTAACCTTTGCCTTTTTTTTTTTTTTGTAAAGGTATTTTTTCATCAGATATACTCCTTTTGATATCAGTGACTAGGTTAAGGCTCTCATCAATATATTTTGATGTATGACCGCACATCAACCAAACCTGGCCTTTCTCAGGTGGCTTTGTTTGGGTACGATGTTGGTTCTTAGTCAACTTCCTAATCCTTGAGAACCAACAACACTGCTCTTCATATCTGTATATTAGAAGTGGGTTGACTGAAGCTATAGGGCCCCTTATTTGCATGGTTTCCTTCTGAAATCTTAAATCTAGTTTTATATTCATAATTATGTATTACCATTTTTATTTAAAAATCTTTATTATCGAAAGTATTGCATATGTCCCCTTTCTTCCTCATTGATCCCCTTTAGCCCACCTGCCCCCCGCCCCCGCCTTCACCACACTATTGTCTGTGTGAAGAACCTCCTTCTCCCACCTCGTTCCCCCAGATCACGTGAGCCCCATGAGCCACACACCTGGGATCTGTCTGCCTCTGAGCCTCTGGCTTCACGCAGGAAGGACAGGTGCTTTATGTCAGCAGGCAGACTGCCCCAGCTCAGAACGGTCTCCAAAGTGCTCACGTTTTATGGCTAAAACAGCCAGTTCTCTGAGAAAGGTGGCTCTGACGGGTGTGTGTGGGGTGGGGAGAGCCCGGCTAATCATGAACGCGATCATTTTTCTTAGTTAAATGATAATAAAACAGTAAATCCCAGGCCACTTCTTAGCATTCTAAGGTTAGGACAATGATGGATGGTTGTCTCCTCCAATGCCCACATTAAAAAAAAAAAAAATCAGGCCTGTACAGAAAGCAGCAGCACACCATTCTGAATCCATGTCTGAAACCCCTATTAGAATTAATCTTTAACTACATGCCCTTCGATGGGAAAATTCACTTCGGCGGGTGCTTTGCTCTCCACTAAACATGATTTATTGCTGCTGCGGGTGACAAAGGGGTGTTGGAAGATCACTCCACGCATCCTTCTCAGCCATGGCTCCGCACATGCACTTCCCGAGATCACAAAGGCAGGGAAAGCAGCTGCTCTGTTTTCCATTAGAGGTTCTGGGTCTGAAATGGTGGCCCCGGCCAGTTCATTCTGCCATGAAGAAGGGTAATGCTCTCCGGTCTGGCTCGTCGTTGGAAGGTGACTTGGTCCTAGGTGTGGAGGGCTGTTTCCCACACTCTTGATGGTTTCGGAAGAGAATTTTAGGATTCATAATGAGACTACCATAGGAAGGTCTAATCATATAAGAATCACTAAATGCCATTGCCGTGGAATTGAAAATGTTTCATCAATGCTCTTTCATGCATTGATTGTTCAGCTTTGAAAAAATATCTGTAGGAACAGTAGGTCCTTACTGCGGCCTTGCTGTGTGCTCAGGTTATTGTTAGAAGCTGAAGCTGGAACTGTGGTTTCCCTCCACCCACACTCTGCGGGACACAGGTCTTCCTGAGCGAGCCCCACGGGTCACGGCTGCCCCCTTACGATGTTTTCTGTCTTTCCAGTAATGTGGAGTGTATAAAACTCTTGCAGAGCAGTGGAGCGGATTTCCACAAAAAGGACAAGTGTGGGAGGTATGTAAACAGGGGACTCTGCTTCCAGTGCCTAAATGAAAGCAGCAGGGAGCAGTCCATCTGGAAGTCATGTGATGCTATCATGTGATGCTATCATGTGGTGTTGTCTGGTAAATAGGGGGAGCTAGCTGGGTAGATTCCATCCTCAGAAGGAAGTCCTTCTTAGAGTGAAACCCCAACAAAGCAATAAAAACATAAGCAATCCAACATGTAAAATATTTATAATTTCCCTTTTTTGGACTAAAAAGGAGTAAATCAAGTGGTCAAAGGGCCCAAAAATTGCCTCCAAAATGTAAAATAGTGCTTGAAAATGGATAAATGGCACTTGACAAAAAGTTACTCTATTTCTAGCAATCTGTTTGGCTAGCATCCCCTGAAAATTGTCTAGGAACACCAGATGGACTGTTAACTAATTGAGGACTAAAAATAAGTAATATAAAACCTTATATTTCTGCTCTGCGGTATGATTTCCACGCGGCTGTGTTTTCTACATGACACTCCCTTGGTTTCTCATAGTAACTCCAGGAGATGCTTACTACCCTTTTTAATTAATGAGAAAACGGAGCCCGGAGAAGCTAAACGAGTTAGCAATGTGCATGGAATTTCAGAGCTTGAGTGGACCTGAGGCCCTTGTAGCCAGCAAGACAACACCGGGGCTGAGGGGGGGATGTGGTTGGGTCTGGCCTGAAGATCTGTCCAGACCGGAAGCCAGGGCTCCGGATTCCATGTGCGTTGCTCTTCCTAGGAACCTCATAGTTCAGTGGAGAAGACGAGGCGACACCAACAGCTAACATCAGGGCAGCACGGGGTGAGAGTTCCAGAGAGGCCCAGGCAGGCGCTCTGCGATCTCAGACAAAAGAGAGAGAGCTTCTGGTTGAGTGGGGTTTTGAGGGGTGGAATGCTGCTCCTTGCTGCATCCCAGTGGCAGAGTAGAGGGGAGTGTGAACAGGACAGGGAAAACCTGAGGTCATTTCGTTTGGATTCAATAATGGGCTCATCTAGGGGAGAGAGAAAGATACCCCGTGAAGGTAGATCGGGACCCACTCGGGGAGGTCTTCAGCTTCACACAAAGGCTTTGTCGGGGGGAGGGAGGACCAGAAGCTGTAGGATGGGGTTGTCATATGTGGGTATCAGGCCTAAGAAAGCCTAGTTCTTCCTTCAGAGCAGCTAGAAAGTCCATGGAGGTTTGATTCGCAATAAGGAGGCTCAGAGGGATGGCAGTGACAGCGGCCTGCACAAGGAAAGGCACGAGGAGGGGAAAGGCAGGCCTGCGGGAGGACGGCCTTGTCTGCTGCCTCTGTGTCTGTCGCCTCTCTGCCATTTACCTGCCATTCACCATCCCAGAGGTGCCTCCCGGCCTCCGCACCCCTAGGAAGCCTGCCTCCCGGGTCTGTGTGCAGCCAGAGGAGGTCACGCCTCTCCTCCTGTCTTCCAGGACTCCTCTGCACTACGCTGCTGCCAACTGCCACTTCCACTGCATCGAGGCCTTGGTGACCACGGGGGCCAACGTGAATGAGACCGACGACTGGGGCCGGACAGCTCTGCACTACGCGGCAGCTTCCGACATGGACAGAAAGTACGGACAGCCTGTCCCCGCGTCCCCTGGGGCAGGGAAGCTGGAGAGGAGGGGGGCTCATTTCCTTCATCCTGCCTCAAGGATGCTGGGACGCAGCATCTCTCACCCAAACCAAGGGTGTTAGGACGTTTTGTCCCCCTCCCCACCCACCGCTCCCCATTCTGCTTTCTCTCGGAGTGTGATGACTTCATGTCACTGCACAGTCACACCTCTGTGTTTTGGGTGGGATGCCAAAGGGGGCTGTCACACCCAGGTTTTCAGTCCATTCAGAACTCTGTTGTCCTTTATTTTGCCACCTGCTGCCGTCTTCATTGTCACCCATTCAATGCCCCATTGGCTGTGACACTTACACGTGCTGCTATGCCTGTCTCGCGTGGAAAATGGCCGTCCATGCAGCAGCCCAGGAGCCTCAGAGGCGGTGTCACTTGTGTAAGGCAGGCACACTGTTCCACATGGGTGTGGATGCTCTCCCAGGAACTGGCGGGCAGGAAGCGGTGCCCTGGCCACATTAGGAGTCTGGGTGCTGGGAGTGGGAAGCAGAATGAAGCAGCCCGGATCCAGGGAATAGATGGGAGAGGTGCCCGCGATGGCCGAGCTCCTTCTCACAGACGTCAGGACCAGGGCCTCCTCCGGAGGGACGGCTCTCAGCGGCCTTGTTCGCTGCCTCGTGCTGTGGAGTGGACTCTAGGTCGGCACTGGAGAGTGTTGGAGAGAACCCGGCATCATACACAGGGTGTCCTTCCCGAGTGCATTTGCACTTCAAGTGACTATAAAGTTCACTTTTCATAATTTAAAAGAATCTAGAGAAATGAATAATTTTTTTTGTCAACGCCTGTTTTCTTTTTCTTTTTTTTCTCCTGTTTTTTTTTTTTTTAAAATATATAGTTTATTGATTTTTTTTTCTTTTTTTTACTGGGAGGAAGGGAGAGGGATAGAGGGTCAGAAATGTCGATGAGAGAGAAACATCAATCAGCTGCTTCCTGCACACCCCCTTCTGGGGATGTGCCAGCAACCAAGGTACGTGCCCTTGACCGGAATCGAAGCTGGGACCCTTCAGGCCGACGCTCTATCCACTGAGCCAAACTGGTCAGGGCAGTGCCTGTGTTCAAACTGATGACCGCTCTGGCCCAGGCACTGCTGACAGCGCAGACATCACGGGTCATTTGGTTCCCTAGTTGTGTGCCCTCAGTTCGTGGACGGATGCCGGCATTGTACTGAAACTTTATCTTTTCTGTTCCCCCATAAAAAAAAGTTAGTGGCACTTGAGGATAAATTTTCTTTGTTTCATAGCTTCGCCTGGCTTCCCTCATTATTTCAAACCAGTTAAACCTGGAAAGGAGTGAGAACCAAGTGAATCGCCAGCCGTTAGTGTGTACACATTTTTTGGGGAAGACACACGATAGATCCTCAATGAAGACTGTAGTGCTTAATATTTCTTTGGGTTGGGAGAAACTCATTGAGCTTTAAATAGCACCGAAATCATTAGCAACTTGGCCATTGAAACACTACGGTAACTGTAGTTTTTTTTTTGTTTGTTTGTTTGTTTTTTTCTTTTCCTCACGCCGAGAAGTAAGACCACCTTAGGAAACGCCCACGAAAACTCAGAGGAACTCGAGAGAGCCCGAGACGTGAAGGAGAAGGAGGCTGCGCTGTAAGTGAGCTCCCCGAGGTGCCACTGTCAGTCCCGGTATTGGGGTTTCACCTGGGGTCTTGAGGAGGTGATGTGGGCTTGTCATTAATGAAGAAGAAACTGGCCTTTTAATACATCCCTCAGCTGTGCCACTCTCGCTCAGGGCACTCTTTCTAAAATTGTGAGCCTCGGCACAGCCAGGGCTCTGATTGGTCAGCGGCCTTTGGAACCAGCCGTGTCTGAAATATCATTTCTGACTCTGCCAGGTACCAGGTGCCTCGGGCGACACCCTGACATCCTGCCAGGGGCCGTAGGCTCTCCGTAGGGCCTGCGGATAACTGCTTCGCTGATTCTATAAATACATGCGAAGAGATTTCAGCGGGAAATACACCGTGGTGCTCTCCTCTTCATCCCCAACATACACCCCAGCATCCACAGCCCCCTACCCTCAGCCCCTAATCCTGCCCTTCCTCCCTCTGCCTCTGTCCGGCTCTGCCTGAGAAGGAGTGGAGGTGGCTGCTACCCCCAGGGGTAGCGATTCCTGGGAAGCCCTGTGCTCCATCCCCAGGAGTCCTTCCTGCATGACAGGTCACAGCGACAAGCTTGTGCTGCCCAGCTCGGGGACCAGCACATAGCTGGTGATCAGCGAGTAGCTTGTGCTGCCGCTGGGACCAGCACATAGCTGGTGATCAGCGAGTAGCTGTTAAATAGATGAGCAAACGAGTGAACGGTGCCCACACTCTGTCTCGGGACCCAGTGGATGTGGTGCCCCAAGGCTGCACACACACAGCCCCTGACTGGCTTACTCTCTCCTTCTCCACTCTGGGGCCTTCCTCCTGCCGGGTGGGCTCTCCCTGCTGTCAGAACCTGGGTCTAGAGTTACAAGCGAGAAGTTGTCTACAGGAAGTGGAGGGATGTAGTTAGAGGGTGGCTCTGGGGCAGGTTCGGGGACATACGTTTGTTACTGGTGGCAATGGGAAACACTGCTGGGAATAAAGCAGAAGGGCCAGGTTTTACTCTAATTCTCCACAATTTAAATAATCATATTACAGCTTGGCTGGCGTGGCTCAGTGGTTGAGCATTAACCTAGGAACCGGGAGGTCACAGTTTGATTCCTGGTCAGAGCACAGGCCCAGGTTGCAGGCTCAAGCCCCAGTGGGGGGCGTGTAGAAGGCAGCCAATCTATGATTCTCTCTCGCCATTGGTGTTTCTATCTCTCTCTCTCCCTTCCTCTTTGAAATCAATAAAAAATATATTTGAAAAATGATCATATTAAAGACAGGAATTTTAAGCCTTCTCGGCAAGTGCTCCTTCTCTAGGAAATGCAGGCTTGCCCAGGCCAGAGCAGACTGCTTATAGCTGGGGGAGAGGGAAGGCAAAAGAGGGGGGAGAGGTGGCCACCTGATGCCCAACTGGCTGCCCAAGAGCTCTTTTATGCAAAGAGGCTACTCCCCCATCCCATCCCCTCCCCCCTCCTGCCCCTCCCTGCCCTGGTCCAGATACACCCCCGGCCTAATGTGCATCTCTTGATGTTGCAGCTTAGATGCCAGAATTGCCCGGGAGGAGAAAAGATAAGCATTTTCAGTTAAAACTAGTTTAATCACTGTCCCATAAAAAAACACAGAATTTTTGAATTCTATCCAACTGTTGCTATTTCAGCAGCACTGTTGGTAGTTTAGGTCAGGTATATTCTGGATTAAATAACTCTTTGGGAGCAATTCCAAGTGTTTTCCAAATTTCATATTCAATTGGTCAATAGATTTTCAGAAGCTGGGGGTTGTGCATCCATAGAAGGCCATTCCTATTGAATGTTTTATATAAAGAGCCAAATTCGGTTTACAGTGAGTCAGACCTGCAATCCTGCCCCCGGGCATTTTATTACCCAAATCAGAGAGGACTTCCTTTTGAGGCTCAAGTCACAAAGGCAATGTGATCCAGGGCTCCAGGAATAGCTTGCCTTATTATTATGGAGTATTTTTATGGATAAATCATGTGATGTGGAGGTATTTGGTTTTAAAAATGCCTGTCTTTCATCAGTTTTTCTAGAAATTAAAATATCATTTTAAACAGTCTCTGTGATCTATTTTTCTCTTTCTTTTTAAAAAAATATATTTTATTGATTTTTTTACAGAGAGGAAGGGAGATAGAGAGCTAGAAATGTCAATGAGAGAGAAACATCGATCAACTGCCTCCTGCACACCCCCTACCGGGGATGTGCCTGCAACCAACGTACATGCCCCTGACCGGAATCGAACCTGGGACCTTTCAGTCCACAGACCGACGCTCTACCACTGAGCCAAACCGGTTTTGGCTATTTTTCTCTTTCTGGCATTTGCCAAAAAGATAGGTAAATGTCACTTTATAGCTCTTCTGCACACTATAGAAATTTTCCTTTGGAAGTGCTTATTTAAAGTATAGGCTTTGGAATCTTACAATTTTAATATGATAGGAAGTTGAATCTGCATGGTTTTGTGAAGGAATTGTTGGTCCCACTGCCACAAAAATAAAATTGAACCCTGGCTGGCATTGCTTGGTGATTTGAGCCTCAGCCTGCGCACCAGAGGGTCACAGGTTTGATTCCCCATCAAGGGCAAGTACCTGAGTTGCAGGTCCAACCCCCTCCCCAGTCAGGTTGGGTGTGAGAGGCAACCAATCAATATGTCTCTGTCACATCAATGTTTCTCTCTCTCTCCCTCTCACCTTACTCCCTTCTACTCTTTCTAGAAATCAGTGGAAAAAATATCCTCACTCCTCAGGTGAGGATCAAAATAATAATAAGGTTAAACTGAAATTACAGAGCAAATGGGGTGGCCGACTAATTCCCTCTTTCCCCAGCAGGATTGTTCCACTTGCGATAAACCCTGGACAGAACTGGTTTCGTCCTCGAGGCCTGTGTCCTGGAGTTTGGGGTTCTTCAGGAAAGGGGAGCCACAAGCCTTCCTCTAATCTATTCCAAGGGTTGTGGCTTTTTCAGAAAAATGACAGCTTTGTCATGAAAGGCTTTTAAAATGTACTAGTTATAATTTGCTTTAGCCTATATTCCTAATGGTGCAATTTGAGTCTTTTTCTTCGTTTGTGGTGACTGACTCTTACCCATTCGTTTAATCCTTTTATTGTTTAGGCTCTCCTTTGGTTCTTTTTTGTTGTTGTCTTCTTATACTTCTTAGCTTTCATTTTCCAAACTTTTGATCTTAGAGTCTCCAATAGCAAGGTGGAAAAAAAAAAAAAAAAAAAAACCCTCTCTGAGGCTGGCCCTGCTGCAATGGCCCAGACACTTTGTCCTTTGAACATGGAACTCTAACTCCGACTTGATGACAGGGCAGGACTCCATCTTAGGATGAGAAGAAAAAGAACCGAATGAACATCTTGTTCCTCAAGGCTTGCCCTTCAAGGCTTTCTAGAAGGACAGTTTTAAGCTGAAATAAAGGAAGCTATAGAAAATGCACACACACACACATACATACATATATACGTACATATGAACATACATACATATCTTCCAGGACACAAATGCTCATTGCTGTCGAATTTTTAAAGAAATACGTAAACTCACATGGTGCTCTGTGGAGCATTCATAATAGGAGGGAATTCGCATTCATCATCTCTTTGGATCCAGAGATGTTTTCTGAAATAACTTCATCCTCCTGCACTTACAGATGCCTTGAGTTTCTGCTTCAAAATGACGCCAACCCAGCTCTCCGGGACAAGGAAGGCTACAATAGCATCCACTACGCGGCTGCCTATGGCCACAGGCAGTGCCTAGAATTGGTGAGTTGCTTTGTCTTGACACACACACACACACACACACACACACACACACACACACACACACACTCGAACACATGCACGCACGCAAGTACCCAGACCAGACAGTGCTGCTCTTAATGTTTCAGCAAAGGACCTGACTACCACCTTGAAGATATTCTGTGGTAAGTGATTAAATTGTTTAACTGGATCATATGAGATCTCTCTGTTCCTTTTCTGTCCATTCTAATCTTAGAAGTGGCTGACAGTGAACTCTGTCAGTTCCAATAAGCGAGGATCCTGAGCAGGCTGTAGGCATTCTTGCACCCTGACCCTCTGTTCCAAACAAATGACCCTGGGCTCTCCCCGGGAGTGGCCTCGGAGAGCCAGACCGCTATGGGTGCCTGCTCCCACCACTGGCCCATCCATGTGGGGATTTGGGGGATGGTGGGACCACCACCAATGGCATTTGCTGTGTGTTCATCACATGCCAGGAACTTTGCATTCGTTATGTCATTTAATTACTTTTTCTTTCCGTTTTCTTGAGAAATACTTGATACATGTTTAAGATATAGCCTAATGACTTGACTTACATACATTGTGAAATGATTAACAGTGAGTGGAGTTAGCATTCATTACCTTATATAGATATCGATACAAAAAGAAAAATAATTTTTCCGCTGGTGAGAAGAATAAAGCCTGTTCTTGAAGCAAGAAGTGGTTTTTTTGAGGGGCACCTTTTCTAGTTTTATTCTCTCTCTCTCTCTCTCTCTCTCAGATCACAATACCCTCATGTTCCTTAAAACTCCCATTTCTTTGGGTCCTAGACATTAGGAAGGCAAGCCAATGTGCCCGTGTGCACTAGAAGGCACATTTCTGAGACTCATCGCTACCACACCACTCTTCTCCTCATCTCAGCACACAAACGCCCCAGTGCCCCCAGGGCTCAGACATCTAACCATTCGGTTCTGACTCTGCGCTGGGTACCAGGATAATGCCGTGAAAGGCTTGTTTGTGGTGCTCTGGGAGCTCAGCTGAGCCTCTGAGCAGGCATTATGCCTGGAGGCCTTCTGTATGCCGTGTTCCCACGCCCCTGGCTCTGGCCTCTGGAAGGCACACGGAGGAGAAATGCGTGTGGTGGCCTCCGGGCCTCTCCGGTCAGGCCTAGACGCTGTGCTGTGGGAGGTGGAGGAGGACTGGGCGGGGTGCTGGCCGTCAGAGCAGCTGATTTGCGAGGTTGGTACCGTGTGTCCTTTGCCGCTCTTCCCACTTAGTGGAGCACTCCCTGTGATTATGCACGTTGTTAGACCCGTGTCATTAATTTTAATGCACATTTTATTTGATTCTGACATTCCGCTCGGTGTATTTTCACTTGGCACTCGTGGCTTGTGGGTCCCGTCTGGGATCCTCGGCTGAGCATTTGTCAACTCCGCTTTGTGTTCAGTCTCTTTTGTTTAATCAAAAAGGAACAGGAATGATCTTTTGTTGTCTTCACTCTGTTCCTAATATAAACGTATATTGTACGTGTTCCATGGGCGCAAACCTTCTAGAGAGAAGTGCGAACCCTTTGGCCTCGATAGAGGAGCTCAGGTTCAGAGTTCTGCCAAGTCGGCCTCCTCAGGCCGGCCTTCTCGGCTGGAGTTGGCCAAAGAGGTGCAAGCAACAATCTGCCCACAGACATATGCCAAGGGCTGCGATCAGTTACATGTGATTGAGCTCCAAATAGCAAAACAGCATGGAGGAGCCTTGGCTACCACAGCAGCTTGTCTAAGTGAGACTTATGCCTCAGTGGAAGGAGGGAGTTGGCAAACAAGAGCTCGATGCCTCCCTTCTCCTTGAGCTGGAATGCATTCTCTTTTAAAAAAAGAAAAAAAAAGTTTTATTACTGATAGTATTATAGATAAGTCCCATTTTCCCCTTCTTTCCCCCTCCTGCTGTCCCTCCCCTCCTTTACTCCCCCTTCCCCCCCGCCCCCACACATCCCTTCCCCTCGGGTCTTCACTCTTCCTGATTGGGAAGAGAGCTATTGGAGAATCACACCTCTACTTGGAATCTGTGTGTTTATGTGTATTTCTTTTACAGTACTAAAGATTTGTCTATGACAGCAGGATGTTTGTGGTTTTGTCCTATTGAAATGGAAAAATGTATGTGCAGATATAATTACATAAATCGCCTCTAGACACGTAGAGGGATTGTTTGAAAACTCCAAGCTCCTGATCCAGTTCAGCCCAAGACATTGCCATGCCACGTCACTGGGAATTTGGCTGCTTCCCTCCAGCCTTCTCTCCTGTTCTGAGCCAGCTTGAACTTCAACTGCGAGAGTGTGTGGGGGGTAGACAGGCACCCCTGCTTATATATTCTAGGAGTTTCTGAAGATAGACCGGAAGCCACTACATTTTGGGCCACTGAACACTGAAAATATGCTCCTCTCAACTCTGTGTTTCAGATGGTTTCTGTGTTTATCACAGGCCTTTAAGAAACCATCACCACTGGGCTCTGTAGCAGAGGGGCTTATATGAGCAATGTCTACTTAAGTTTCATGGCTAAGAATGCAGAGAATCGAAGAGTTTAAAAAAGAAGAGCTACTAAGTAGTCATCTGCAGACAAGAAGACGAAAAAAACCAGCAAACCTGAATGCAAGCCCCAGACAAGTGTTTGCTGGCTCTTTCCTGTCCCCCGAGCTGGAGTTGGGGTGTCTGTGACCTCCCAGCAGGCAGACTGCCAGTGGAAACCTCAACAATGCTGGTCTTGTGTGTGCTTCTAGTTAGTTCAGTTGAAACATGAAGTCTTATGGGCAACGGGAGCAGAAGAAGTAGCCTCGGGAAGGAGAACGGACCAGCGATCGGGAAAAGGGGAAGAACGTTATGGTTCACCCCATGACTTGCTAGTTCAAAACCAGGTTTCACTAAGGGAAGGAGTAGAGGGATGGGCACATACTCTGATCCTGCTGGCGGCCTAATCACTACCGGGAATGTAAACGTAAGCCCACAGATTTTGAGTCAGAATTTGTGTGTGAGCAGACAGTATTTTATAAAATAGTCCTATTGTTCCTTTGTCATAGAGCAGATAAAAAAATTCTTTTGGCTTCACCATGAATGACTCTGGCAATGCATGAAAGAACCATTCATGGAATGCATGAAAATCAACAATTTCAGTTTCACCTTTAGCTGAGGGGCCAGGACAGTGGAACCGTTGCCCACCGTTTCATAGTGAGATGCTAGCATTTCAACCCACGGGCCCCTCGCCCACTCAGGACGTTGGGTATCAGAGGGCGCATTTCTTTGGAGGTAGCTCAGATGTGGATCCCACCACTGCAGCTTTCCCCAGTGGGAGGCGATGGGCGGGAAGAGGTAGTCTGCTTTTTCCTGGCCCCACGCCCAGTGAAAGAAGCTTCCAGGAGACTGGAAATCTGATGGGTGTCTGCTGTAATTTAGGGCATTGAGTGGACTGGCTTGGGATACAGCTAAAGACTGGCTGGCTCCGTCCAGAACTTGCTAGTAGTCACAAGTTACATTAAAAAAAGGTATGTGTTTGAGGAATAGCCTACCCTCTTCAGTAAAGGATCAAAAGTGTGTGTTTGCCAGTGTCCAAGTGGAACCCAAGGGCCAGAGCTGACCAGGGTTCTCCTTCAGCACATGTTTCATCCAGGCGCTCCTGCACCCAGCCTGCCCTCTGGCATCTCTGCTCAGTGTCTTTGTAGCAGCTGCTGCCAGCATGGCCTCCTGCTCCTGATGATGACAGCTGCCCGGGAAGACCACTTCCAGCCTGAGAGGGTGGGGAGCGGGTGTTGGGTGGAGGAGTGACAGGAGCCCAGCAGGATTGCTCCTCCAAAGACACTTTATCTTCGGCAGCTGCCACAGACGCGTCGCTGGTGAGGTCAGGTCGGGGTCCCCATGGTGACCACTTCCCTTTTTGATTCGCGTTCGGTAATGGAAAGTGGAGAGGCCTCAGCGTTTGTAGTCGGAATAAGAGCTCCCATACACACCTGTGCCTTCCGGTCATGGGGTTCTGTCTGATTCAAAGAACAAAGAGCCGTTCTAAGATTCCAAAGGAGGTGGAGAGGCTCCGCCATCTGTAACAGCTGACGGGGGTATTTGGAAAAACCAAATCCCTCCGCAATAGCAGATTGATTTTCCTGTATGATTTCCCTATAACCCGAGTGGTAACATCACTGGCTTTAAATGTGGTAGGCCATTCAGCACTTGGAAAGGTAATTTTTTTTATAATAAAATATTCTTGGTCATGGGGAAGCAATTTAATATAGAGTGACAACTTCATAGCATTTTTCCCCGAGGAAAAATTGATATAATAGTTTCCCAAAGGCATGTTTTATTTCACACACACACACACACACACACACACACACACACACACACACACTTCGTTAATTAGATAAAGATTTTTCAGTTTGTAGCAGCCTTCTCTGGATATCAAATTCCTCATGCTGATAAGAGGACCACCGTTGCCCTGTTGGAACTCTGGATTTCTCTTACTCTTACCCTTCATCATCCAAGATAAAAGGGATGTTCCGGAAGCGAGGGACAGGTGGCCTGCTGAGAGAGCTAAGGGGACAGAACGTCCCCTTCTGGGTTCAGCGGTTAGTGAGACCTCCTGGCACTCGTCAGGGGGATGCGCTTGTGATTTGTCTCTTTGGAGTCCTGCTTTCACCACCCCAGCAGTGGGGAGCAGAGTCCGAACCTGAAATGGATGGAAGGAGGGAGCGTGTACGTGGAAGTTTGGACTTGATTTGCTAAATGGACCGACGTCTTGTTTTCGGTAGAGCAGAGAAGCTGTGTTCAGGGTGCTCTCTTCTTCTGTCACTGACACAGTACATTGGGGTGACAGGATGCTGTCTCACACCATGCTCCTGAGCCCCATCGCCATCTGGGACCAGCCACTCATCAAAGATGCCATGTGAGGCAGGCCCATGTCGGAGTACATGCGTGTCAGTCGTGCCCATCTGCTTTAATTTTGCTTAAACTAATAGCAGCTTTCTTTGCCCCCTTCCTTGAATCTGTGCTGAT